TATTCAACAAACGTGCTGTTAGGTAGTAGATATTTCAATTTGTTAAGATTTTAATGGATAAACTATTCATTTATAACATGCATAGCAAATGTGGTTTACTAGCAGACTGATAAACTTTCTTTTAGATATGTGACTCTTGTTACTGCATGCCTTATTGTTAAGAGGTCTTGCTTTGCAACATTTTCTTTTTAACAGTTATTGACCTTCTGATGATATGCACATCCTGGTATGATGCATAGCACCATCAACACTGTAAATCAGAAAAAAAAATATTTCAAAGGTAGGACTTCAGGAACAAGAGCAGCTAAAATGCTAAGTGGTTATAAAGGAAAAAGCAATATTATTAATCCCACCATGGGAATCCATCAACGTGATTTTCCTTTAGACAATACTAATCTAAACTTAAACAAAGATCTCTGCAGTGAGGAGGTGAAGAAATTAATTGAAACCTATTTGTGTCTTTGACTGTAGCAAAGCTGTACATTACAATAATGAACAAGCAAACAGCTAAAATAAATAAAACAGGAAAACACACTTTGTACTTGAGTATTTTCTGTAGTTCTACTGTTTGACCACTAGATGTCAGCACAAGAAAGTAGAACTCAGTCCTCATGTGACTTCAGACTATCTCCAAACAATTTAAAATTAACACAGAGGGAAATAACATATTTAATTTATAATATTTGTAAATTCCACACAGTGGAGGTGAATTTTATTCGGTCTGTGGTTCTCAGAGTACGAAACTATTTTATTTTTTTGTAGTTTGCTCCGCTCTGACCGACAGCATCCAGCCGACAGCCAAAGAAGTTATTAACTAACACTTGTGGTACAAATATCGCTATTACCTACTGCATAGGTAAGGCTGTATACTAGTTTGTAGTTACTTTACCATTTACAATTCATGAATTCCAGCCACACTCATCGTTTCACGACATCACACCGCGGAGGAACACGTCCACCCCTCCGCCCACAGAAATGCTAATTAGCTAATTAGCTTCCTGCTTGAAGTTAGCAGACGCTGCTCGCTAGCTACATCCGCACCGTTTACACTGCGTTAGCATTAGCAAGAGGAGGTTCAATATAACATTAGCTCAGTTACAGTTTCAGCTACCACTCAAAATACAAATAAAACCCTTTGGACATTCGTTCAGTTTCCACAAAAGTGTAGAAGAATAAATTGACAGCTTTGCCCCCTTTTTAGGCATGTTATGGCTAAAAGTGCGATAAAAGCGATATTGTTTTCTTCTGACTGCCAGACGTTGCTCAGTAAAAGTTCAACAGAAGCTTTCAGTCAGCTGTTATGTTTTTGTTTGATGTTTATTGGATGCAAGTTTTGGTCTGATGGTTTTTGCTAGATGAAAGGTGTTTGAGACACTAAGAACATACTTTCTCACGGGCCAAAGGGAAAATCTGGTGCTGCATTTATTATCAGTGGAAAGAAAATTACTGCAAGTCATCCTGTGGTGACAGTTTTCATATTTAATGGGAGTCTTGGCAGTTGTTTGTTATTATAGACTGTAATATACAGTCTGTGGTTGATATGAGAGGTGTTGAGAAACTTTATTTTGCTCTAAGGAAGAACTGGCATCACCAGCATAAGTCTGCTACCAAGGCAAGTTGTAAAAAACCAACCACACTTTAGATTAAAAATAAAATTATTTTGCTGCCTCCATCAAAAACATTACAATAAAGCCACTCTTAGAGGCCAACTTACTGCATGCAGACTATCTTACAGAATAATTGATATGCCCACTCTTACATGTGCCAAATGTCCTACCTGTAACTACATCCATACAGTATTTCTTTGCCTTTCCCTCCAGCTCTGCATCAGGAGGGTCTGTTCAGAGTAAACGGGAACGTCCGAGCTGTGGAGACCCTGAAACAGCGGCTAGAGAGTGGTGAGGATGTGGACCTTCTCTCTCAGTCGGATACCAGCACCGTGGCCAGCTTGCTCAAACAGTACCTCAGAGACCTTCCACAGGGTCTGATAGACTCAACAGTCCAACAAGCACTGATACAGCACTACCAAGGTAAAACACCAACCTGTGGTCCCACTTCAATCTTCTGTGTTTATTTGTAACATTTGTCTACTAGAATTTAGTCTTATCAGCTGATATAAATCTGGTTTTACTTCTGTTCACCATAATGTGATAGATCTCCACAATACGGGTGGATATTAATGCCCTCCCAAGAGCAGTGAATATCTAGGTCATCTTATCTCATCTTATCTTTAGGTGGTGGAATTGCTGTTAGCAGTTTAGTCACGTGCACCAGGAAATGACAATAAAGGCACTGCTGAGTTAAGTGTGTAGGCATTTGTGAACATGAGAGATAGAGAGATAGAGTCTGTGTGATGTGAAGACGAGTAGACCTCCTATATTTCTGGTGATAATCTTGGAGGTCATAAAAGATAAAGTGAGTAATTTGGAAGGTAAAGTGTCTGTGCTCACTCTCAGCTCTCCTCTAGTGCCGGGTTTAATCTGTTTGATGAGAGAAGAGTGTACTTTTTGGCTGCAGTATTCGTTTTGCTTTCACAGACCCCATAAATATGAGCCTGATTTTTCAGGGCCTATGGCCAAATGCTGCATTAGCAAAATGGTCTTGGCTGCAGCTACAGAAAGAGATTATTCTGGTGCAGTTATTTGTCAAATTTAAAAACGGTTTAGGTGTATGATGAGTGGCCAGATAGGCGCAGATTAATTTGCCCATTGATTAGTAGTATAATCATTTACAGAATATGCAGAATATGAAAACAATCTAAATTCAAGTATATTTGTGCTCTAGTCATGCATTCACAGGACTAACAATGGCATCAAGGATAGTTGCAACTCAAGTGAAACTTTTACTTTAATCAAATAAGTAAAAATAGACAGTCTGTCCAACTTCATACTACAAGTATTGAAGGCTTTGCGATGTTTTTACCACTCGGATACCGATTACTGCTTATGTGCCGTATTTGGTTCAAATAATGTAGTGATCAATTGATTCGTTTTTTGGAAAATAATTGTTCAGTGGTGATTTTGAGAAGGGATCAGTCATTTTTAAGTGATTTATTCAGGATTTGTGCAGGTTAAAACTTCACTGACTGTAACCATCACATTGAATGGTGGGAGGTTAAGAGGGATATTTGTCATTATCATTTTTTTTATTGTAAATTATTAACTATTATAATTTTCGATACATCATTCTGAAAACTCATTTATGATACTGTAAGTTAAAGATTAACTTATAATCAAAACAACATGTGATTGCAATCCTGAATTGTCCACGGAAATGGGTGGCCTTGCAGCTACTCGGAAAGCCATATAAATTAATCAGTGTGTCTGCTCTGTCACTTCCCCAGATCTATGTAGTGGAGTTATAAATTATTATAGTACATTTGGAGTTTGCTGATATAATCCTGGATGTAGTTATATGTTGTATGTATACAATATCAGTATGTATCCTGACACAATTCCCTGCCATATAAAATAGTCAGATTGTGACTTGGTTCATTCAAGATATTAAATACTTAACAATTCACATATCAAGTTGATGCAAAGGTCATGTAAAATCCAATGTCTTTATAAAGCAGCTTATTGAGTTGCAACATTACCCCACATAGCTGAGATAGTAGAAATGGTATGGAAAAGTCCCTGATTATTCTATATTGTCAGTGCACCACATACTTTTGCCTGTTCTTCACTATGCTATCACAGTGGTTAGCACATACAAATACATATGGCCATATTTATTAACATTTTTTTCAGTGTATGCTTGATATTGATGCTGTCACATTTTACGTCCTATTTCTGCCTGTGTTTTTATGCATCACCATATCTCATGGCATGGCGTTCTCTGCAGTCGTGTGCTTGTGTCACTATCTGGCTTCTTCCATCACATGTGCATGCTGTTGTTTTTAACACACAATTGTATGAAGTAGAAATTTTCGGTTTCATCTCTTAATGCATGTCCATCCTGTGTACTAAGCAGTGAAAGCGTAATAACTTCAACTTCAACAACAATGTGCATGTACAATATGTCGCATAAGTGAATACATTTCTGCAAATATGTTTTATTATTTCTTTTCATGGGACAACACTGAAGAAATGACACTTTGCTACAATCTGAAGCAGCCAATGTACAGCATGTATAACAGTGTAAATTTAATGTCCCCTCAAAATAACTCAATACACAACCATTAATGTCTAAACCGCTGGCAACAGAAGTGAAAGTGAAAATGTCCAAATTGGGCCCAAGTAGCCATTTTCCCTCCCCAGTGTCATGTGACTCGTTAGTGTCACAAGGTCTCATGTGTGAATGGGGAGCAGGTGTGTTAAATTTGGTGTTATCGCTCTCACACTCTCCCACACTGGTCACTGGAAGTTTAACATGGCACTTCATGGCAAAGAACTCTCTGAGAATCTGAAAAAAAGAATTGTTGCTCTACATAAAGATGGCCTAGGCTATAAGAAGATTGCCAACACCCTGAAACTGAGCAGCAGCACAGTGGCCAAGACCATACAGAGGTTTAACAGGACAGGTTCCACTCAGAACAGGCCTCATCATGGTCGACCAAAGTAGTTGAGTGCGTGTGCTTAGCATCATACCCACAGGTTGTCTTTGGAAAACAGGCGTATGAGTGCTGCCAGCATTGCTGCAGAGTTTGACGTGTTGGGGGGTCAGCATGTCAATGCTCAGACCAAACGCCACACACTGCATCAAATTGGTCTGCATGGCTGTCATCCCAGTAGGAAGCCTCTTTAAAGATGATGCACAAAAAAGCCTGCTAACAATTTGCTGAAGACAAGCAGAATAAGGACATGGATTACTAGAACCATGTCTTGTGGTCTGATGAGACCAAGATCAACTTATTTGGTTCAGATGGTGTCGAGCGTGTGTGTGTGTGTGAGGAGTACAAAGACAATTGTGTGTCTTGCTACAGTCAAACATGGTGGTGGGAGTGTCATGGTCTGGGGCTACATGAGTGCTGCTGGCACTGGGGAGCTACAGGTCACTGAGGGAACCATGAATTCCAACATGTACTGTGACATCCTGAAGCAGAGCATGATCCCCTCCCTTTGGAAACTGGGCCGCAGGGCACTATTCCAACATCATAACGACCCCAAACACACCTCCAAGACAATCACTGCCTTGCTAAAGAAGTTGAGGGTGAATGTGATGAACTGGCCAAGCATGTCTCCAGACCTAAACCCTATTGAGCATCTGTGGGGCATCCTCAGATGGAAGGTGGAGGAGCACAAGGTGTCTAACATCCACCAGCTACGTGATGTCGTCATAAAAAAGTGGAAGAGGATTCCAGTGGCAACCTGTGAAGCTCTGGTGAACTCCATGTCCAAGAGGGTTAAAGGCAGTGCTGGAAAATAATCGTATCCACACAAAATATTGGTACTTTGGGCCGAACTTGGACATTTTCACTTAGGGATGTACTCACTTTTGTTGCCAGCGGTTTAGACATGAATGGCTGTGTATTGAGTTATTTTGAGGTGACAGTAAATTTACACTGTTATACAAGCTGTGCACTGACTACATTAAAGCAAAGTGTCATTTCATCAATGTTGTCCCATGACAAAATATTTGCAGAAATGTTTTACTCACTTTTGTGATATAATGTCTATGTGCACATACACTCAGATTCTGAACTTCACTCAGCTGTGAGCTCTCAGGCCATTATTCCTCTCCCTCTCTTTCAAGCTGAGGCAGACGTACACACATACCAGCCTTCATACGCATGCTCGCACTCTCACATAGACGTACACACTCGCAACGTTTGCGTCACTCAGTCGCTCGGGATCAGTAGTCATATCCGTTCATCCAACTCTGACCTAATTATGTATCCCGAGTAATAGCATCAACATATTTTCAAGCTCTTTGCTGTACTGCTCACGTATTACTCGTCACCATAACTTAAGATTAGATGTTACAGAGAGCAGGTTGGTGCAGCTTTCTCTGCCTGCTGAAGGTGGGCTGTAGTGCCAGGGTTGAAATGTTATTCACCTATCTCTGGTTTGCATTTTGTGAGCTGCTCCAAAAGAAATCAAATTGCTTACGCTTCCCTGAACATTTAAATCTTGTTGCTTGATTATGAAGTGTGTTAGCAAGAGGTTTCAGGTTTGTTTCTGAATGAAAACTACATAGACAAACAAATAAATCAACCCCACCTTTGATCTGTTGTTATATTTTGTGCGTCTATAGAGTGTGGTGATGATGGCTCTTGGTCAGATATGAGAGAACTGCTCCAGCAGCTTCCAGACGTCCACCTCAGTCTCCTGCGCTACCTCTGCCACTTCCTCACCCTTGTGGAGAGCAACCACAAGGACAACCGCATGACTGCGCTGAACCTCGCCACTGTGTTTGGACCCAGTGTCTTCCAGTGAGTCCAACTCTTTTTTTTTAAGTGTAGATGTGATTGAACAGTTAAAATAAATACATTTGGACCAGTTTCACCATAGCTGCAGCTTGCTGTTCTTGCTTTTTATATTTCATATAGGAAACAGTGTTTAATGAAACTGTAAGTACTCCCATGGTTTGGCAATAACTTTATTGACACTTTAGTGCTTTTTGAACTGTATTATTAGATTTTTTATTTATTTTTTTGGCCACTTGGGAACAGCCCAGTGTGCTCTAAAATACAGTAAAGACATATTTTAATGAACGTATTACAAACATTACCTATTAACAAATCCAGCAGGTACAGAGCAGCAGTGGCAGTCATTTAGAATCATGTTCCTGTTGACCTTCCCTAACTCTCAACGGGAATATCCTCCTCTCTCTGTAGGTATTTGTTCACTGAGTTTTTTGCTAAAAAGAGAGACAGAGTGTAAAAATAAAGTTTGACAAAACAATTAGCTGAAAGACTAAAGTACACTGCAGAGAAGCTGAGCAGGAACAACAATAATAGTAACAGTGATAAATGGATGAATCAAAAAACAATCTCACTTTTTAAGTGGTAAACAAGTGTCAGTCAAAGTATAATCATTATCATACTCAGTTACTGTGTTAGGGTTAAATTCAGACCTCAGTCTGACATTGGCTTTAATGATTCACCTTTAGAGTCACAGGATGAAGAATTGTCTGTGTTTATACCAGCCTGCTTCACTGTGTTGTTTGCATTTTGTTAAAGGTCAATTCCCTAAGGTTTTGGCAAGTTTTGCAGCTTCACTATGATCGTTACAAAACATGTTTACTGCTTTAACCCTCCTATTATCTTTAGGGTCAATTTGACCCCATTCAATGTTTAACATCTCTAAATAAGTAATTGACATAATTTTTTTCAAATTTCTTTAAAGGGCTATTTTTTAACACATAAACTTGGGTAACAATTTTGTTTATGATATTTTCTGGAGGTTCAGATTGCTGGGGTCAAATTGAACCCAAGGATAAAAGATGTCAGCAAATTCGAAGATAACAGGAGGGTTAAATAACAGAGTAAGGCACCTTAGCTTAGTCTGGAAAAATCAGCAGTTCTTCAGTCAGCTTTCCCCTATATCTTTTTGATGAGACAGATAACAAATTTTGGTTTCACATATCAGAGCAGCTGGAGGGATGAAGTCCTACAACAAGCAGGATATACAGGGTAAGATAATAAACCTCAGGACAAGTTGTACCCACAGAGATTTCAGCTGTTTTCAAACAATTTATTTCTAAGTGAAGACAGGAAGCATAGAAAATTAAACTGAAAATTACATGCACATTGACATTTTCCATTTCAGAATGCAGGTTAAAATGAGGGACTGCAAGGTAGCACTGTTGCCTTGCAGCAAGAAGGTCGCCGGTTTGCATCCCAGTGGGTGCACTGGGATCATTCTGCTTTCCAGGTTCTCTGGCTTCCTCCCACACAGTCCAAAAACATGTTGAGGTTAATTGGTGATTCTAAATTGTCCGTAGGTGTAAATGTGAGTGTGCTTGGTTGTCTGTCTCTAAGTGTAGCCCTGTGAAAGTCAGCTGGGATAGACTCCAGCCCCCTCGTGACCCTAATGAGGATTAAGCGGTGTATAGATAATGGATGGAATGAGTCTCTGTCAAAACGTGTGGCCATCAGGTGGTGCTGTAGCTTGTCTGACAAGAATGAAAGCACAATTTTATGGCAGCATGTAGAGTCTCCTTGAGAAACTTGAATCATTCCTGGGTTCCTGAGCCTGCTTTTAAATTTAACATCAAGAACATTTGGTCAGGCACCTGTTCAAAAAAACTTCTTTTTTTTTTAAGTTCCTGTGTGGCTCAGAATTACATTAAATAATTTAATTCACTTTTTTTTTTTTTTTTACTTTATTACCCCTGAATATAATCATCAAAGGTGACACTTGAATTGAGTCTTGTCCTTCAGGCAAGATTGGACAATTCACAAGTGAGGTTAATACATAATAATGCAATAACAGACCAAACAGAGTCTAAACAGCTTTTCCAAAGTGTCTAAATAACTAACAGCCTGGTTTATTTATGATTTCATGAACACTGAAAACAAAGTCCACGTGGGATCATAATCTAACTACTACAACAGCTGCAACAGAGCTCAGGACTCCACCTGAGGACAAGCACTGTGCAACAAGTGATTTACCGACAGCATATGAACCAGGATTCTGTGTGTGACAGCTCACCTGTCTGATGTGATGAAAAGTACACAGTGTGACTTGCCAGTGGATCCTGGCATGCGCTATCCTCTCACCGTGCCGGGGATCATTTATAATTATGAGTATTTAACTCTCTCTCACTTTGGAGACACTGATATAAATCCTGCTGCTGTCTGACGCTGCAGTCATTTAATAAACTCAGCGGAAAAACTCCTTCAAGCAACTTCAGCTACTTTTAACATCTTGTGGGAAAGAAATACTTTGTTTTTTTGTGCCATGTTGAAAGTGATATGGAAATGTTACTAGGGCCGACCTAGTAATATTGCTGATTTACAGAAAACTGATCAGGGTGCTCATTCATACATAAAGCCGACATGATCAGTTTCTGTTAGAGTGACAGAACAGAGTGCATGTCTGAGAGGGGCTGTAGAGTATTGTGCAAACGTTATAGTCTTTAAAAATAAGCAGAGGATGCTTTTAAAAACCAACGCTGGAAAATAATGATATTGTTTTTTCGACAACTACCTTTACAAAATTAAAAAAAATTCAGTATTTGGGGTGACCAACCTTTTCTTTTAAAACAGCATTAATTCTGTTTGGTACACCTGTACAGTTGCTCAAGTAAAACTTATGCACAGCCCAACCATGACCTTTACTATGATGTAGCAGTCAGTGGCTCCACTTTCCTTTCTTCCGCTGGTGAGCTTAGTATCTCTGTTCTCACTTTTTCTGTTTGTGATAGGCTTAGTGAGCACCCAGTTTCAAATCACACTTGTACATTTCGTGACCTATAGCCGCACTGTTCTCCAGACTGGCTGCTGCTGGGAATCTCCAGTGATAAACTGGTACGTTCCTGCTGGGAGTCCTGCATGGAAACAAGATCAGGTTTCACTGGACAGAGGTGCTGAAAAAACTAAGCAGTCTTTCATACTGTACAACCTGTTCTCGTTATCATGGGCTGTGTGTGCATGCGTGCATGCGTGTGTGCGTGTGCGTGTTAAACAGCTGTTTATTAGTATGAGACATTGTTCTTAATAGGGAAGCTGGATTCAGGTCAGCTAACTGATGACTAATTTTCAGTTTCAGTGTCAAGCTCACTGTTGAACTATGTTTGTTCAGTACAGATCCTCAACTTTTTTCTACTGATGCTATCATGTTTAAAGAATTTAATGAAAAGTCATCTTTTTGCTTTTATTCTTGTTGATCTTCTTGTCCTCTTTTCCAGTGTGACCCCTGGCTTTGAGGCAATGAATGACCAAAATATCTGTAACAAGATCATGGTCAAACTCATCCAGAACTACAGCAATATCTTTGAGGCGAGCACGGACAAAGACAAAGAAGACCGCACAGAAGAGCAGTCGACGCTTATCATTGTCAAGGTGTTGTATACTCCCTGGAACACCAGATGATAATGTTTATATGAAAAAGATAGTTGTTGGTGACCACGCCAATGTTGTGCAGCTGGTAAGACAATAACAGTGAGTCACATGTTGTGCCCATGCACTTTAAACAGTATGATTCCTCTCTGGCCTGTGACCTCACTCTGCCCATCCACTTGGAGTAGCGATAGTGTATAAATACGGGCTTACATAATGCCAAGACAAAATTGATTCAAGTATTGATGTTTTATCACAGCCTCGTAGGAAACACTTCTCCACAGGTGGCTGGCTTGACTCTCTGGCTGTTGATTTCTATTTGCTGCTTTGATGGCTGATGTGTTTATTGATTTGCTGGTTTGTCTGGTTGGCTGATTTTCTTGGCAGCATCTCACTGCTGCATCTGTTGCTACCTCAAGAGCAATTGGAAAAAATATGAACCGAGCACAGCACTGCAAATCATCTTTTCATATAATGTTGGAGTTTCATTTAGAATAATGCATTTCTTTAAATTAGTTACAAATAGAATATGATGAAACTTTAAAAGGAATGCTAGAATTGGTAGGCCTATAAAATAAACAATGTAGAATACATGTTCCTTATATTCTACAGTCCCTCAGTGTCTTTGATGCAGCTGCCACTCTGTAAAGATATCAATCTATTGCATTTTTCACCCACAAGGACCTCATTGCAATGTAAGAGATAAAAAAAAAAAGAAACTCTTTGCAGAACAAGTAGAGAATCGCTGCTGCGCTTTGATCTGTTTCAGTGACACACCAACTACCCTTGTTAGCATGAAATACTTATCGTCGCTTTCAATTAGTTTACCCACACATGCAATAAGTGTCGCATGGAGTTACAGTAAACTGAGGTTAATTTGAGTCCAGTAAAGTATATGAAATGAGAGTCATATTTACTTCTGGAATAGCTGCAACGTAAGTATCTTTTCAACTATCACATCGTAAGCAAAACCTTGTCAGAATTTCCACTTTTGGAAAGGCATTTTTCACCTCAGTAAATGGACATCAGCGACATCTACACTGTTGATTGATGACTTTGTCGGTTGTGTGAAACGTGACATTGGTCACATGAGGACAGGCAGTGACCACAGGACTGAGCTCCACATGGGTTTGACCTCTGACCTCTTCTGTCAGGGTACTTCTCCTGCTGTTTTTACAACCATCAAACATAGTGTTGATTTCCCATATGACACTATGCTTACCATGCAAAAGTCCTCTGAAGACGTTAATCACAAATTAATTGACTTAATGAAATCAAAAGGTGCAGATTCTTAGTAGCAGTAAAATTAAATCTGTAAAAAGTTTGAGTATATAGTGATTTTTTTGTGATAGCATTTCCAGTCACAAATCTGTGCTAGAAAGCCATTGAATACCTGTAAAGGCATTGGACATGAGACCCCACTGACCTATTGGAAACTCCTCAGTCAACAAAGATCATCTTACATACAAACATGCACACATATACAAAAATGTTAACACATACATGGACATATACATGGCCTGTGGAGGCCCCTCACCTCCTGACCTTCCTTGGCTTTGAACATAGCACATATGATCACTAGTTTTGCCGTCACCTTCCATCACAAAATGCTGACGAGTAGGAAGCGTGTTTGGAGGTGTTTATGTGAGCGTTTATGTGCACACATGTTGTTTGGGGCTCTCAGAAGAAAAGGAAATGCAGAACATTCATACACAACAGTTGCTCTAAAATGATGTCCTGATTCGCTGAGAAAGATAGTTCATAGCTACTGCATGTCTGAGTCTCCTGTTGCAATAATAACTGGGGAACAAAGCTTTCTGGCCTCTATTATACATGATATGTAGCCCTGTACATATGATTACAAATGTGTATGTGTTCTTTGTCCTCTTTTCTGCTCACAGGAGGCGCACGTGACGGATGCAGAAACAAAGACGTCCACCAGCCATCTCAATGCAAAGACACCGACACCAGTTCCCAGGATGAAAGTGCGTGCTGTGCTTTTTCAGTAGTGAGCCTGCATATGTGTGTCTTTGTTTATGCATTAATGCTCCACGGTGGACCTGTTGTAGAAGCTTTTGTTTGCGTCTGTCGACTGTGAAATGCAACATTGTTGTTTATTCCTGACATTCCCAGGTCAAACTTGCATGAACCCTTCAAATTCCCTTACATAGTCCTTTTTAACACCAACCATGTGATCTGTGTGACGTGATTAACATAGCATGGGCATGTTTTGGAAAAGCTGTTTTCCAACACCAAAGCCATTTCTGTGTGTGTCTGTGTGGGTTTCTCAGAGCTTTAAAGATGTTATCAGAGTCAGCTGACTTCTGTGTACTACATGATTTTTCAGGTCACCCTGTGAGAATAGTTGATGACTTTTTCATTGGTTTTAATGCAACATTACTGCTAACTTATCTGTATTCGTTTGTAGGCTAGAGATGTTAGAAATAGCACTATTTGCATTTATTCACTTACTCTTGTTGATACTATGACAGAGGATAATCTAAATGTATTGATTATGTTCATTTTATATCTATTTGAAGTCATTTATTTTCCCATCGTATGGTAAGTGTAGCTGTCAAATTGTGTCAAAACAGTGACATAAAATGTAGAAATAACAACCTGAGATAATGGTGATTAATACTTTTTACACCAACCATTAAAGTAATCCATTTTAGATGCAGTCCAACTTTATTCCATTCACCTGTCCTTCATTGTTTATAATGGTCATGGCTCGCTAGCTTTATGCAATCTTAGTATTGTAGAAAATATTTAATTGTCTACCTGAAGTTATGCAGATATATTTACTGTGCACTATGAATCTCATTGTATTTATCTGCCGTTTTCTTTCTGCATTTTTAAAGATTGCACCAGGAAATGCAGAACATCTGAACAACTCCTCTGCTGCTACGCCAAAGGCAAAAACAAGGAAAAAGAAGGTATAGAAAATAACCTGTTACTGTCAGTATGAGTGATAGTGTTTGTTTAGGAGCCTTTTTTTTAATCACAGTTTGTTTCTCGCTCTTTTCACAAAATGCTCACCACTTCCTTATCGGCTGTATTACCTTGGTGTTGATTAGCCAGAGGCCATCTCTCAGACAGCCTCCGATGCCTGTGGCCTCGCTGCTTGGTCACATGATGTGATGTGATCTGATAAAGGCAATCTGCTGCAGGAAACAACAACGCGCTTATTTGCAGGGAGAGACAAGCGTAGGCTATGGTATGCTGTTTCAAGTGTGCTGTATTACTACAGATGAGCCCTGTCACAAAGAACAGCATTTGGTCATTGATTTTGGTGCAATTAAAGGCTGGAAATTTCCTGTTTGTGCATGTGTTTTAGAAATGGAGCTCTTGGATCATTAATTTAAATCAAACAGGTCAATAAGAGAGCTACATTTGTTGTAGTAAATCTTGTTAAGTCTGAAGCGCTGATCCTGTGATGCCACAAAGTGCAAAATTAGCTGTTTAAGTTTATATTGTCATCATTTTATCACAAATACAGAGGAGTAGTTTCTCTGAGGTTTTTCTTCACGATTTTAGACACCTTGAAATGATCTTCCTGCAGTTGTTTTGAAGGCAGTTTATAGAAGATCCGGTGCCATAAATGGGTCATTCATATCAAGACTGGTGTCGCTGTAGAGATAAAAGAAATGCTGACTGATAGCACGATAAGCTCAGGAGGGTAGACATCGTCTGATGAATAATGTTTGCTTTCTTTATTAGGTGGTGAAAAAGCTTTTCCTTTGAGCAGAGCTGGTTTGTAGAATAATTGCAAATGCTTAAAGTTACTTTAACCTTTAATCATAGCAGTTAGTGCCTCAGGCCTCACTGTGTGTTGGTGCACAGCTATGCAGCCAGCTAAACACACCTTCAGTGAGCACTGACATGAACAGATCACCTTGAAGGTTTTTATTATATTGAGGTCTTGTTCTAAATATTGTGACACTGTGAAAACAGTAATGACAACAAATTCAGCGAGCGTGATGACAAATGACAAAACAATAAGACTCCATAAACAACACTGGGACAAAAGTATTGTAAAAATGAATTGAAAACTGGATTCACAACTGTATAAACTGGCTGTCAAATGTGTTTCTTACTGACATGGAGCACAGTGTATTTTAAATATCACAAGTGAAAGATCAACACTTGGTCCTCCTAGTAAGCACAGCACAATACTTAATCTAGTGAACATACACAGTGTCTGCATGAGTAACTGAAGCTAAAAAGAAAAAATATAGCAGCAGAGAAACGTTAAATTCATTCCTTTAGGTGTGAAGCAGTTATCTGGCAATGCATTAGCTTCAAATTGTGAGCATAATGGATAGCTTCGTTAGTCAAATCAAAGTCAAGTCAAAATTTATTTGTGTAGCGCTTTGAAAACGACCACAGTTGACCAAAGTGCTTCACAAGCTTAAAATACCAAGATTAGCAATGAGCTGACGACATAAATTCTGCTAAGGCTGTTTGTCTTTCTGCTTGTTTGTCTGTCAGCAAGATGGCCAAAGGAAGAACCTATTAAAGTTTAGTGGACTGGACCACTTTCTTTAAAATTGCAAGATATGGCTTTGGCAGAAGACAGCGCTCTCCAAGTGCTCTTCTAGCTTTTCCTTTTGAATATTTAATTTTTGACTAAGATATTTATGGGTGGGGTGCACATAGCTCACCACGCTAAGCTGCCCCTTCCCACACCGGGAGCTAGTCCTGGCGTCGGAGACCCCGGGTTCGTATCCCGCTCGAGGCTTGTCACACTTGATTCTAAATTGTCTGTAGGGGTAAATGTGAGTGTGCTTGGTTGTCTGTCTCTAACTGGCGACCTGTTCAGGGTGTCCCCTGCCTTTGCCCTAAGTCGGCTGGGATAGGCTCCAGCCCCCCCGCGACCCCAGTGAGGATTAAGCGGTGTATAGATATTTATGGGTTTTGTCTAACCAACAGTCCAATCTTAAAGTCATGTAAAATGTAAAAAAAAAAGTTTAAATATTAAAAAAGAAAAGCAGCAAATCCTTCTATTTGACAACCATGAAATAATTGGCTTCTTTGCATAATAAATAACTTCAGTATTAAAATAGTTGCCTATTAGTTTCCCAGCTCCACCTACTGTTGGGTAGTTTAAGATATAAAAAAAAAGGATATTATATAATAAGGTTACACTGTAAAGTAACAAAAACTGTCAGATAGATGTCAAGGAGTAAAAATGACAGTGTTTCCCTCTGACGGGGAGCAGAAGTAAAACGCTTCATGATGATTCTACTGCAGTGCAGTACATGCACCTCAATGATGTACTTTATTAGATCCCACTAGGGCAACAGCTTTTTAACTTTGCCAGAAGCGGTTACTATCAGCAACAGCATATTCAACTGAAATGTTTGGCCGTCAGTGGTACTGTTTTTTTGTTTTTTTTTTAGCAGCTTTTAAAACACAAAACCCAATTCCTAAAGCTAAAGCTGATGCCATGAAACTCATAGATACCTTTTGCTGTCTCTAAAAACTGAAATCGGGTCACGGAGAAGAGAACCAGCCTCCTTAATGATTTATGAAGTGATTCATTAATACAATAAACATTAACTTTTATTCCCCAAACAATCATGTACAAATTTGCAATCAGTTGTCATTACTACAAAGGACAAATAGACTTGAAAGAATCACTTTTTGATTTATCACCACTCACACATGACTGCCAGTGCTGCAGCAGCTTCTGTGGCACTGTGAGCTACAGATGTTATAAGTCTATGAATTATGCAGTATTTATCAGCTTCAGGTCTGGTTTAGTAGTAAACTCCACACAAACAATCAAACACACCCACTCACATAAATTAGAGAGCCCTAAACACGCCTGTGATATCTTTAGTTTGATTTATGATGCACGTGCTATTAAAAATCATGCTGTGTGATTAAAGGGGAACTTGTGTGTTGTTGAACACACTGATATTTGTGTCCACACGTGATCTTTGGACACATGGTTGCATTTGGCAGTGTATTACTCGCACCTTGTTGTTCATTTGGCATTGCAAGAAAGCCTTCTGTTGCTATAGTAAACCACCTCTTCGAAATAGGCAGATGTCATCTTCTCTCTTTTTGAGCAAAAGTGATTAATCTAACATGTACTACTTAAAAATGTCCAGTAAAAGTTGTTGTGGTGGTTGTGCAAGCTAGATCAGGTATGGATCAGATTGCAAAGACACTTCAGAAAACTAGACACCTGAGAAATGAGCTGTCACCCGTCGGTGAATAGAGATCACATAACAGTAGAGGTTGTTTCCAGGCCAGACACAGCTCCTTTTCCTCATGGCAGGTTAACAGAGAGAAAGCACACCAACCTAAAATATCAAGTTCGAAAATATTGTATTTGGCTTTTCTTGGCGGTCTTTTGAGGTTTTACTCACAAACCTTCAAATTATTAAGTTAATCCATGATTTAGAAACCAGGTCATATCCTCATTTTGGTCTGTCAGACTTGTTTGCCATCAAGCCTATTTAACTTTCGTCTGAGCTAGTCTTTATGCACAGGCAAAAACTGGAACCAGGGATGGAGACAGTAGGCGGGTCAGTGGTTAGCAATATTAAAACTGACATGGACTTTGATATGTGGGTCTCTGCTGGAGTTTCCATGGCTGTGTTGTTACTAACTTACTTTTAGTTCAGTCATACATTGTACAGACAGAAAAAAATATATGAATTCATTCATTTATTTAGTCAATCAAGGTAAAATAAATCAACTATTCTGATAGTTATTACTTGTTTAACTTTGATTGTACCTTGTTCACAAACTTGGGAATTTGCTGCTCTCCCTTGTCCTGCATTTTAGCAAAGTTGATGTTGTAGGGTTTTGGACAGTTGGTCAGACAAAGTAACACATTCTAGAAAATGGTAATGGGAGTTTTTCTGTTTTTTGTTTTACATTTTTTGTAGAACAAAGCGTTGTTTGTAGCCATTTTCTTCAATGATGAAAATAATCATTAGTAGCAACACTATATGATACCAAAGCAGTGGTGTGCAAAATTTTTATTATAACAAAAACTACAACACCTTACACAGAATTCACCATATAGTAGGTGGTAATGATTGAATAAATGAACAAACAAAATTGTTGGAGACTAGAGAAATTGCTGCTTTTTATCTGTATGTATTTTTCCTTTAAATAATTTATTGATTACAATAATACAAAAGAAAAACAGCAAAACACGTGACAGCAAAAATTTATAATAACATCGAAGACAAACCAAGATGCCCTTTTTGTGCAGTCTCCCTTTTCGTGATGCCTCCGCAAAGTATAATGAGGCAGACTCCAGCAAATTGTTAAAAACAAAGCTGACATCCACATTCATTTTCCCGTTTTTCTTCCACTGTGTTTTTTTTTCTGTGAATGACAAATTTAGCTAAATCAATCACAAAGCTCCGAGGGGCAAAATCCATATCAGGTCTAGCTAAAGAAGTTTGTGCAACTAATTATGTTTCCAAAGATTCATCCATTAAGTGCATCAGTGGCTAAACGTCTAAATGGAGGCTGCATCCATAGATTTTGGAACAACCCATTAAGTTCAACCATAAATGGAAATGTTCCACTGGTAATTGGTGTAAAGGCAAAAAGTAAACCTTTTAATTCAGCGGGGAGAAGCCACTTTTAGCATTAGATGTTTCTGACCATTATCGATACTTAAGCTGCTTGTGTCAGGCCCATTTCATACTCTGTTTACCACAGCCAGACAGCTCTTTGGCTTCAGTGTGCATCAGCAGCAATACGAGCGCTCTCCATATATACGAGGAGAAAGGTCTTTGACACATTCTTTAACATTTCTGTCAGGTTTCCTTGGCGGCGACTTAGTAAAAATGCAGAAGGGTACTTCTCACAATGTGGCTGTAATTAGGTTAAGGTTCTTTTCCTACACAACTGTCGGTGGTTCGCGCTGTTTATACCCACTCAGGGTCAGCACGGTAAGACAAACATCAGTCTAACCTAACAGTTTTACAGACTAACCTCTTTTTTCTTGCCCTCATTTATTGCTCTCCCCCCCTCACCTCATGAGATCCTCAAATGCATGTTTTATAGTAACCTGAGCAAAGGTTAAAAGCTCCCGTCTGCACGTGTTCGTATGGCTGGATGAGCTGGATTGTGCAGAAACGTTACCAGTGATGTATCATTTACCTCTCATGCTATCTCACATTTCCTGTCATGAGACTCATCGCTCACTGTCTCTGCCAAACAGGTGAGGAAAGGGAAGACTGACGGCATGACTCAGGTTGTTCCACAGCCCGGTCTCTCTGCGGGGCTGCCACACGCGAGGCCTTTCTCCATACCAATAGTTTTGCCCCTGACCTCAGCATTGAGGAGCCCTAGCCAAGAGGCAATGGAAACGACACCCGGGCATCACCAAGACACCCCAGACGCTGCCTCGCACTTTGGCCACCTCGATGTCAGCCTCTCTAGTAGTGTGGAGGGCCTCAGCAGGTTAGTGTGTTCAGCACTTGCTCTTTGACCTGGTTGAGAAAATTACAAAGATAAACTAACATTAGTGTGTGGTGAGCTGCTCTACCAGAAATTACAGATTAGGAGAACAGATTATTTATTTACAAATGTTTTATGTAAAGCTAAGTTGTGATCCCTGATTTCCAGCCACATAAATTAATCTATCACCATAAGAAAAAAAAAAAGCAAAAAACAGAATAGAATTCAGGTACTCTGTGAAATGTGGTCAGCCACTCCTGCAGTTTTATGATTTTATTAGGATCACAGTCTTAACTGCGAGCAGGACACTTTACGACTGGTGTAAATGTAAACCTAAGGTCATATAACTTTAAAAAAATACGGCTTCCCTGCTACGTGCCCAACCTTTAAAATTACATCATTTCTGTTTCTGTTTTGTGATGCCATCTTGCTTAAATGTGGAATATGAAGGGGGACTCTATCATTGTTAAATAGGCTATGACCTGTGCTTGCATAGGTGATGTGCTGTCAGCCCAGGGTAAGGGTGAAAAATCTTCAGTATCTCACAGCGATCAGAGACCTACAGCCTGAGCCCCGTGGCAATGTGCCTTTGGCATGCAAACAAGCCTATTATAAGAAGCTGAAATTGGACCCTCTTCGTGTCGAGTGTCTTCAGTCCTGGAATAGCAGGTCTACAGCTGTGTCTGTTGTAGGGGTACTCGCTGCTTGACGTAGAGACTGTAGCTCAACTGTACACCTGCACTCATTGGCTAAAAGTCATTGCTTTTCTGATTAAAACACTTGTTAAATACGGTTTATCCACTATGTATGTTTTAAATTTAGATTTTTATTTTTTCTTCAGTTCGAAAAAAAGAAGTTCGTAGATTTGACAAACTACAAGATATAATGTGTCATAAAGCAATAAATGCCACGCGTGTGATGCTTAGAAATTTGGATTGATGACACCATTTTGGCCTCCACTGCCACTTGTAGAACATACCGGTGACCTTTATAGGACATTAATCAGAGTGTAGAACCGTGTCAGCACTGGATCCATTAACACATTACATAAAAGTTTAGAATGGCACACAGAGTCACACAGTATAATATATATGGAACTTGTTTTATCACATTATGTGGAATGTATGTCAATATGTGGTACTTCTCAAATCTTTTTCTTTTCAAGCTTTATTGACAATAAAAAAATGTAATCATCAAAAAAATGTCAGTGCCATTATACAGTTTTAGCTCTGTTTTTGAAAAATTCAACCTTGTCACGTTTTTCTTTGGTGTTTAACTTTGAATGGTGCCATGGCACCATATTGTCTCTGTGTGACCTAAAATTCATTAAATCAGAATAGCCAACCGTTGCCTTTTACTGGAACAGAAATGTCCTGGATACATGAAGTGGCAAATATGATACTTCCAAGGTGGCAAAAGCTTTCATCACCATGTCAGGATACTAGTATGTCTTCCTGGATGGCCCCAATACCCCAGAATTCTTCTTGCCAAGCAGTATTGGATGGCTGATGAGGAGGCAGTGTGACAGGGGACCTCAGTAATGTGCGTCAGTCACCTGAACTCTCTGATATTTACTAATAGACACATGTCATATGCAAAACTGCCAAAATTACTTCACCATCTGTAATGCATTAAAAGCTTTTTGTACTCTCTAGTAGCATCAAACAGTTTAGACTGTGGAGTTGTAAATGTTCAAAGATCCATCCATCCATTATCTATACACCGCTTAATCCTCAATAGGGTTGCGGGGGGGCTGGAGTCTATCCCAGCTGACTTTGGGCAAAGGCAGGGGACACCCTGGACAGGTCACCAGTCTATCACAGGACTACACTTAGAAACAGACAACCAAGCACACTCACATTCACACTACAGACAATTTAGAATCATCAATTAACCTCAAAATGTTTCTGGACTGTGTGGGAGGAAGCTAGAGAACCCGGAGAGAACCCACGCTGCACGGGGAGAACATGCAAACTCCACGCAGAAAGATCCCAGGTGTCCTCACTGGGACACAAACCAGCAACCTTCTTGATTCGAGGCAACAGTGCTAACCACTGAGCCACCTTGCAGCCCTGTTCAAAGAAAAAGTATTTAATCTGATTAATGGTGGAAAAACGGTTTTATAAACTTGTGTTAGGGTTAGGATTAGGGTTTTTGGGTAGTTTTTGTTTTAAGTGGCTGTGATTTTGACAAATAAAACCTGTAGCAAGTATATGAACATTTTCCTCTAGTGGAAATCTGTATTTTCATATCTCTTATGCCTACTTGTCAGCTTGCTCTCAGTTTCCATAAGTATGTGTCAGACAAATCTGTGTCAGCATAGAGCAGCACAGCAAGCTGAACTAAAACTGTTTTCAGTCTATCCAGAATGGCAAAATAAAGAAGCTCCATCTGTTTAGGATTTTATATTTAATCAAACAGTTGTGTTTTTACTTTTAATTAATGGCTTTATTTTTGTAGAGTCTGAAATGTGAAATCAAGAGTCTAAGAAGTTGGTGATGAATATGTTTTATTTATCTGGTCAGTTGTGTTGATCAACTCGTAGTATCGTTTATATTTGACACATGGACCCTTCTTTCCAGGAACTGCCCCCATGGGTAGTTGCCCTGGTCGTTCAGGTCATATTCAGCGTACACTTGTAATCAAATCATCACCTTCAGGGTTCCCTATTAGTAGTTCCATTTTAGATCTTGTATATCAGCTCTCTGAGTCTGGAGTCTTACATCTTTAATGTACTCCTTCTGTCATCTCTGGTAATCACGTGAATCTGGCTTGTATGACATAACACTCTCATCTGTGCCTGAAATATATGACGCCAACCTCACTCACCACACAGGCCACACCAGCCAACATAGCATTGTCATGCGAAGTTATTCTGCTCTTAGCATTGCATAGTTTCACGCTGGGAATGCATACTGGCTTTTGTGTGGAGTTGCCATGGTTCACTGAATTTTGTGATGTAACTATTGGGTTTCTTAGAAGCCCGTTGGAAATCAGTGGAAGTGAGGAACGTTGCAGTGTGGTGTGAGTGCAGGTATAACAGTATTGCTGGCCGCCTGTCAGGAAGTCTCATCTATCAGCCTGAAAGCATGACTGCACGTATTTACAGCAAGAACCTGCAAGCTGGATCAAACTGGTTGTCTGACAAATGTAACGTTATGCACCTTTTTTCCAACTCTCATGTGAGACAGTGGCCTTTAGTTATACTAAGATTTAATGTCAGTGAAGATTCTCAGTCTTTAATGTCGCAGGATATCTACAATTAGATCTACAAAGGTTGCCACGTTTGGTAGAAGATATTATGTTCAGCCAAGAGACTTCATTAAAGAGCCCATACTATGCTTTTATGGGTTTTTTTAAAAATATTGATTTCCTTTAATGTGTTAGATAATTTTTGAGCATGTAATAAGAATGCAGACCTACAAAGCACAAAGTCCATACTGAAAGGAGATATTCTCTCCCCAAAAAAGCACTGTTCCTGACCTGCCTGAATCGCATTGTTTAATCCAGGATTTTCTTCTCTAATTTATTTTATCATGTAACACATTTGCATAATGCCTGCAATGAGCAGCTGCCTCACAGGTCACCATTACTTCCTCGCAAGAGCTGCTTCTGTCAGAGCTCAATGTCCATACTCAGATCTTGGGTTACAGTGACTTACTCGATTTTGCTGAGGCAGCTGACCAATCAGACCGTGCGTTTCAGGAAGGAAGCCAGTGACAGGAGCTTAAACCGCAGAAGTTCACAGCATGTATACATATTTCAGTTGACCATAAAAAAATCATCTTCAAATCTGTAAATGTGCATAATATGGGCTCTTTAATTTTGTCATCCCTGAGACTCCACTAATCAGGTAACATCTAAAGTGTTCAAAGCTCTCAAAAAATAAAAAAACTAATTCTGACGTTAACATCCTAAGATGAACGCTAAATATTAAGTCTGATCTTCAGGTTAGGTTAACTGAAAATCAGATGTCTGGATTAAATTGTTGTGTGAACAGATGAATGCAGGGCTGTGAATCCACAGAACAGTAAAACGCATGTATGTAGCTCAGCTAATACTGATCAATCAGGTAGTTGATCCACAGTGATTTTGAGGATTGCTTAAGTAACTTTTCAAGTATATGTGCCAAAAATTCAGAGGTTCTAGCTCCTCATATGTGAGCATTTGCTGCTTTTGTCCGAGTACATTTGGATTTAAAATTTTTGTCAGAACATATTTGGGACCTCACTTGGAATTTTGGTTTTCTTTCTGCTAAACAAATACAAATGTGGAGTTTTTCTTTGTATCATTTTTGTTTCAGTGTCAATAAGTCAACAAACAAAAGTAATGGTCATGATGAAAAAAAACAAACAAAAAAAAGACAGAACAAGGGACATGTATGCACTGAGGACTGTCACATTCCACCTACAAATTCTTATGTGCATCTGCAGGTCTGCCTTGCAAACCTGAACCTCTGTGTTGCTCTGACACCATAAATACCAGGCATATACCAAACAAGTCCTGACCACCACTCAGTTTGTGCTTTGTGGGGGAGTCACATTGTTTTCTGTTATTTGTCTTACTTAACTTATTTTTTAACAAATATAATGTAAAAATGAACAGTGAAAAACTTCAAAAATAACATCATGAAAAATCTTGACTTCTGCCAGCAAAACATATTGCATCATTTAAGTGATCCTATAGCATCCTCGAAGCCAGACTACCTTTGTCTACACATTCTTTACAGTGTTGAAGAAGTGGAGAAGCTGGACAAGCCTGTCCAGATTGACCAACTTGTTATCAGTAGTTTTCCGTTCAGCCCGGAGGGATCAGGCCTTTCTGAGTATGCCTACAAAGCCTCTTGTTATCCCTTCAGTAAGGTAGTGGGTAAGCAGGATTTCCGCTTTTGCAATTCACGGCGGCAGTGACGGCACACATTATTTTAATACGCTTGCCAGACTGTGTAACACCGGTTAAGAACAAGGGTGTGAGGTGGGGGGGGGCGGGGTCATTCACCACTTAGGCTCTAAAAGAATTTGGAGGAGTTGTGGTGACCTACCGCTCAACTAAAACAAGGCTGGAGGAACATATGCACATTTACCGAAAACAATGTGTCAACTGAGAAGACTTTTGAAGTTCAACAACCTTTGACCTGTTTTGATCTCCGCCTGACTTGAAACCCAAATCCTTTGTTTTGAACGTGTTGAGGTGCTGCTCGAAAGTTTTGCCCTCCCCTCGACACACCTGCCTCTTACAATAAGTCACATGCAGGCACGTCACGTACCAAAACACAATGGAGTAACATTCAGCCATGGTCCACAATAACAGCTCCTTTCTTCTGTGTTTCAGAACATCTGAGACTCATTATGTATACAACCCACAATGCTGAATGATTGTGGGTGTTGTTGTTTCAATTTGATGTTGTCCACTTGATATTCCTCTAATATGAAACAAAACCAGTAGAACTGAATATTTAATCATATCAACAATACAATTTATTTGTTTCTTTTGGCTAGAGTAAGAATGAAAGACCTGCAGTTAAAGAAATCAGATCAACATATTTATGATTCACACACAATATTTAAAAGATTGCATGTGAATCACTGAGCAGTTAATGAGTATGGCTACATTCACTCATCATTTTATACTGATTGATACGATAATTATTTTCTGTACAAAATGTCATAGGACTTTGACAGACTCCACATGACAACAGTTTTCCGAAAGTTTCATCAAATCGCTCGTTCAGACTGACCAAAATGTGAAATAAAACGCACACAAAGTAAAGCAGCAGTTTCTCACAGTGAGAAGGTGGAACTGGAGTATTTGGGGCGTTTTATTTAGTTTACTATTCAGCTGCCAAAGCAGTGGCTGATTTTTTTTTTTTCTAATTGCCAAGTCGCCTATTTTTATTTCAGCCTGACTGATGAGTGAAATATTCTACAGGCTTATTTTTGGAGAACAAACATAAAATTTCCATTTGTTGTCAGCTACTGAAAGACAAATAGCCAAAAAACGTCAAGAAACGATTCTGCTGTACCTGGTTTGTCAACATTGTCATACCTCCACGATGACAGCTCTGGCTGGAGGCACAATGTGTTGGGGATGTCCATCCATCTGTGTCATTCTTCTGAAAGCAATGTATCAGGAACACATGTGGGGAATTTATTCAAACGTGACACAAATTTTCACTTGGACTAAGCAGTGAACTGACTTCTTTGCAGCAATCTCCACATTTGAAGCAGTCTGTTGGTATGGCTACAACTACAACTTTATATGAATCAGGTTTATTGGCCAAACAAAAACACACTGATTAACTTGTATTGAACTATTTCAAAGTCTCTACTGTGTATTATATAGTGAAGGAGGCATAGAACCAGGAGCTGGTAATTACAGTTTTAACCTGCACTTTGTTTCAAATCCTTTCTGCTGCATATCTGTAAATTAAAAGCAGAGTTCACATCACTCTGACAAATGTTCTCTTCTCACAGGTAAACATCTGAATAAAGTCCCAAAAGAGCTAAAAGATAATGAAAGGCCACACTGTTTTTATTTATTTGAAACTATTCCTCATTATCTCATTCACATTCTTTCAAAATCCAAGTGACTAATTTGCTGCAGAGCTCACAATAATCTGATTTTAGTTATTTTGCATATTTGCAGAAAAACTTTCAAAACAATTCAGCTGTCTCAGCACCATTTTTTTCTCTTTTTGGAAAACAGCATGTCATACTAAGTGAAACAGACATAAAAATAGCCTTACTGAGACCCTTTAACACTTAGTTATTCTTTAAATGGTACACATCACTATACATACACATATGCATGTTAAACATAAACCAGCTCTGGTTGTGGTTGCAGTGTTTTTCTTCCTGCTCTGACTTTAGAGGAGATAATACAGAATCAGACTGTGCTTAGGCAAACAAGATCAGGCGATTATGACATTTTTTGCCTGTATGTGCCAGGATATGAAAATGTTAAGCAACATCAATTTTAGTGCCAACACCAAGTTCCTCCTGTTGTTGCATAATTTCATCATGTGTTGCTGGAATACATGCAGTCACAGCAGCCAGCCTATATTCTAGAGCAGCTCCCATTTCTCTTTTGGTTCATAATAATTACCAGAGACAAGTTCCACAAAGGCACTGATCTGTAGCACTGCATAGCCATTATTCTGCAGACAAAAGCCAGCCTTATGTGCCTATTTTCAGCCCCAGTAACATGTAGTGATGAAGGGGGGTGCATAATGTTTTTATGCAGTAGCACTTTATGGCCACATCCAGCAAGCTAATTAGGTATGTCTGTTTGTTTTCACATTTCAGCTCCCAAGACGAAGACAGGCCGATATCTCCTTTCTACATGAGGTAGGCCTTGTGTGTTTGTGTTAAAAGGCTGGCAGAGCAGGCTGAGAGTATGTTGTTTTGGACTGGAGGTGTGGGGGAAGTGGCTGCGTGCTGCCTCAGTGCATTATCATCCGAAACAATGGAACCACCAGTTAGAGGGAAAGCAGGGCAGCGTGCACATGCAACAGTTTGCCCAACACTGTTTGGTTATTGTGGAGAAAGCAGCACGTGTTTCAGACATACCACGTAAACAAAGGACACGTCCGGGTGAAGATGTGTTTTCGGAGTGTTGTGGTAATTCAAGAACAGTGTGGGAATAGAAGAATAATACTTAGAGGTAGGAAGTTATATCTTTACCTTAAACAGAGTGTCAGTGAATTGAATAACAGAAAAATAATGGATTATTTTGAGCCAGTTAATAATTTCAATTATTTTCAAGCCCAAAAAAATGAGAGAATTTTATGTATTCTAGTTTAAGCCTTTCAATTAGGAGGATTTTCTGCTCTTCTTTATATAGTTTTAAAATTAATGTATTTGGGGTTTGCATTGCTGGCCAAACATAAGGTATTTCAAAATGCCACTTTTGGCTCTTGGAAGCTGCAATGGTCTTTTTGTCAACAGTTAAACAATTAATAAAAAAAAATGGCTGATGAAAGTAATTGTTCATTGGAGCCATAACAATGTCTGACTGTATCAAATTAATATTATGAATTTCTGTCGAGTTTCTTGTCATTTCTGCCAAAGTGGTTTTAAAAAAAAAAGTACAGTATTGAATGAATGAATGAATGAAACGTTTACACAGTAAATTTCAGGTACTGGCACGTACAAATGATAGTGTTTGATTGCAACCCGGCCACACCTTATTGATAAGCACTTGTTAATCATAAATGACTCCACTGTTAGTTTTAGCCTTTAGCGTACTGTGTGTTGATCTGAAGCCTCGGCAGCTTGGCCAGTCTCTGGTAACAGCTGAGTTCTTTAGTCATTTGAGGTTGGCACATTTTTCCACAAGTGTTTATGCTACAGTGGCTCCACACTGGCACATTTGTGTAACCAAGCATATTGTTTTGGGTTTTTGTTTTTGTTTCAGTAAAAAAAGAGCTTATTAGATATTACAGAACAAAAGATTCACAGGATAATCTGCAGGAGTAACAAAAAGTTAAGTTTAGGATGTAGTCTGATTAAAACTCACTGATAATGTGTTCTTAGCAGCAGTGAACCTGGATAGAAAGCAAAGCTGTTACAGTAACTGGGACAGCTTGTCTCTTTGTTGTGATATAATAAAACACAAATCCTTTTTATCCGTTAGGGAAGTACAACTAGTGCATTAATCTAAGACCTCAACATGTACTGTATGTGTAGTATATAGTACATAACCACAACCTGTTTTACTGTGGTATAGGATGTGTAATCTCTTTTTATGTATTGCATAATCGCTGGACTCAGCATCCTCATTCAGTGATGTTGACATCATATTTTACTAAATTATTCACACTTGCAGGCCATATAGCACATCTCAGACATGTCATAAATCACTATAAGTCATTATATAAAATGTACAGAGACAGAGATATGCATTCACATGTGTGTACGATGTATATACATGTGTATAAATACATATACACACTACGTACTGTTTTATATGTTGCTGTTGTATGCATATTTAATGTATGTGAAGTCCTTAAAGACAATGTGATGGTTATGCGGGGGACTTGTTGTGTTAACTTTAACGTATCAATGTAACCAAAACCAATCAAAAATCCTACATTTGTTTAGTCTCACAAATGTGCAAATTTTCTATACACAGATTTGTATTATAAAGTTTTGTGGGTTGTGGACACTTTAACAATGTCCCTTTGTCCCTTTGGACTCAGAGAGGTTTCTGACATTTGGACACACTGATATTTGAATAAATAACTTTAAAAACAACTAATAATCAAAATAATCATTAGTTACAGCTCTGGACTTTTGCTCTCTGCTGTGACTGAATGACAAAGAGCAATTTGTGTTTGTTTTTCCACTCTCCTCTTACTTCTCACTGTTTACCTCTCATTCACATCTCGTGCTCACGTTCATCAATAACTCCATGGCCTACTTGTACTTTGTCACATACTTACATACATACTAATGCCTACACACTTTCTCCCTCTGCTGAGCTGCACTTGCATTCCTTCACATACAGAGAGTCTCAGGGTGCCTCATGGGAGCTTAACCTTAGCCCAGTCACAGTGGATCATAGATCAACATATTTTTTTCCTCTGAGTGTTGACCAAAGACTCTGAAGGTCCTGGATAATATCTGACTGTTGTGTAATGCTGCTGGATTACCTGGGTGGATGTCCCTGGGTACACAGTGCTGAGGATTTAACTGGTATTAGCATCTGCTGTGGAAGCTTTGGAGTTGTTTCCTCCATATTTTTATGCTTTAAGGATCAGTTGACTGTTAAACACCAACACAACTGCGGAAGCATATTATTTTGTTCTTACTTTTATTTGCAAAGCAATTTTCTAAGTTAGAAGGTCCGGAATTAAGCAATTAAATTCAGCAATACTTAAGCTTTTGTAAACCAAAGACTTGCACTGCTTGCTTTTTAAATACAGACACAGCAGGATGAGAATAGCACAACTGCAGAATTAAAATGCCAGACGTGTCATATCCTTGGATACCTGAACGAACAGTTCAGCAAACCTTTCAGACATTCTTAAACTGGAAACAAAAAACAGCTGACTTGACAGGCGGTCAGTCATTCAGGTAAACTGTATTTTGAGTCTGTCAAACACGTCAGACAGACGTCTTTCAATGGAATTGTTCAACATTTTAGGAAATAATTCATGTTTTGGCCATGAGTTAGACAAAGAAGACTTATACCACTCTCATATCTATTCAGTAACAGAAAGCTACATCCAGGAGATGGTTTACTAAATGTAAAAAGACTATTTTTTTCACAAGTTAGTACACCTGGCCAAGAAAAGGCCTACATGCAAACCTTGGTCAAACCATGAACCCAGATTTTGTTACATTAGGAAAGAGCCAGGCTAGTTGTTGTTTATACTAAGCAACGCTGTCAGGAGCTTTAAGATGTCAAACTATTCTTTGGAACAATAGTGAGATCAATAATGTGTTCCCACTTTAACATATGTTGTACATATGTAGGATTTTGTATATGTAAACCTTCATGGTCCGTGTTTGCACTTTCACAAGAAACCACAAGAATTTCACCAAAACAACTATTGTTCTTATCCAGCTGCCTCTTCATCCCTTCATCTACTGAAGCACTATCACCTTCATTACATAAATAAACGGCAGCCAGTTTGTTTTAAGATTAAACACTTGTGTTGTAGTCATACAGGTACAATAGAAAGGAAATTATTGACTGTAGTTGTGTGTGATTCCTAGTACTTAACAGCTCAGGTGAAGTTTTTACTTAAAACACAATTATCGTGTTGCAAAATCGACTATTGATCAATCATTTGACTGGGATTTGTGGTATATTATGATATTTTTAGAGTGACGCTAAAAAAGTATTGCTGACTTGCCGTTCACTCATACTCTGTAGATGATGATCTTGTTGTGTTTCTGATGCAATGACTCATCCCTCTTGCCGTATGATCTCTTTTACCAGGAGTTCATGACTCAGACTCTGTCCTTTGCACACCGGGCAATAAACCTGCCTCATACCACAGTGGTTTGAGGCTACTGCAGTAGTTTTTAAAAAAAAACTAAGTCAGTGGAACAAAGTCATCTCTGAGCAATGACACCACTTCATTTACCAAATTGCTACACTTTCACTGTCCTGGGCCAACCCCGAGATTATTTGGGCAGATCATAGCAACCGCAAGATATTTAATTACCAAATATTTCACACTTGATATGTACGGGCCGTGACGCTCAGCTGTTTATTTCATCAGCAGCTTAAATGTGGCACGAGCGGGCGAAGAAGAAAGCTAATTTAAGGTTACTGACCACTACGAATGCAAGATTCACGCCTGATCGGAGTTAGTGTATTTTAGGGTATCGTGAAAGTAAACAAGAGTACAGTATACCATACAAGGAGTTTTTGAAAGACTTCTCTCTTGAGATCTGATAACATTATGTAAGTTGATGACCAGTAAATGTAAAGGTGGCAAGCCAAAAGGGTTTGAAGCTACTGTCTTAAACCGTCACAGTATCAATGCTAAAATTGTAACACTGAGCACGATAAGCTTGATTTGATACCGATGGTGCAATAAACGTTTCTCGAGGTATGGCAGTTATCTTGTGCTGGCACATATTGTACTTATATAATTGACCCTCTTATCACCTTCATCCTCGGCCAGCCTTTAGCACAGGGCCGTCTGATACAGTTGTTGACAGCTCTGGAAACTTCTGTTGTATTTTAGGCTTTAGAGATGACTGACCACTTGTCAAAAGTGTCTCTTGCACTTGATTAATTCATACGTCTGGCATCAGCAGGCATTAGGGTGTCAGGTTAAATCAACATTAGTAAGCCATTAAACCGTTTTCTGTTGCTTTAACCTGTTGCGTTCAGAGCCATGTCTATTATTAGGTGCTGGGATAATATTTTTTCTTGCTGTGAGATTATTGAGCAGTTTGGTCTGCTGCCTCTGGAGCAACTCTTCGGTCTTCCTCTTTACTTTTCGACTGTCACAATAAAACAAGAAATTAAAGAGGATTTTTCATTTCCACGTGATTAGAAATATTTCTTTTGGAAATTATAGTCATGAGTGCAGAAATTTGAAGTAATTATAAAAAGCCTGTATGCATGTATGTTTATGATAAAAAAATTACTTCATCTCATAAATGTGATCATCTGGTTATCACACATCCCCGGTTCGCATCCCGGTTAGGACACCTGGGATCTTTCTGTGTGGAATTTGCATGTTCTCCCCGTGTAGCGTCGGATCTCTTGGGTTCTCTGACTTCCTCCCACAGTTCAAATGCATGCTGAGGTTAACTGGTGAATCTAAATTGTCCATAAGTGTGAATTTGAGTGTGCTTGGTTGTCTGTCTCTAAGTGTAACCCTGTGATAGACTGGTGACTTGTCCAGGGTGTCCCCTGCCTTCACCCTAAGTCAGCTGGGATAGTCTCCAGCCCCCCCACGACCCTAGTGAGGATTAAGCGGTGTATAGATAATGGATGAATGGTTATCACACAATAGGGTTTGCCATCTTTTATTCTGGTACACTTGTCATCGTCGACAGCTTGCTATTTTACACAGGTTCAAAGCAGTCACCTTCACAGTGCGCCATCACTCCATTATTATCTCTTCTCTTATCACTGCTTTGTACGTGGTCCACTGCGCGGCCATGCTATGACTGTCAACACCACTGTTTATGGAAGATTACGTTCACAACCCCCTTACACATGTTGAGGTAATTGTACTCCTGGAAAAGCATCACTTTCTCAAGGCAAAAGGACCAACTAAATCACACTGTTCAGATTTTTTTTACTTATTTTTGATGAATTCATTCATTTGTTCATCATTTAGTCATTAAACTGTACAAAACAACCATTAGGATTTTATTACCAGAAGTTGACACATTCAGATTGCTTGTTCTATCTATCTATATGTCTCAGACTATAAAGCTCAAAAATGTCATTTAAAATGCTGGAAAATAGAAGAATGCAGTGAATCATTACATTTTTAGGTTGAAACCAGAGAATGTTTTACTTATAACGTGGCAATTGTTAATTGAGGTTGCTAAATTGAGTTGTTGTTTCAGCCATCATTGATTAATCCTGTAAAGGTCACATCACAATTTTCAAGAGTCAAAGGTGACACCTCCTAGATACTTTTAAGGGACAGTCCAAAACCGAAACATACATCATTAACAAGAGCACAAAACAGAGACAGCTTCAGATCATCGCAATCTTGAAACTGTCATAAAATCAGAATATTTAGAATTTAAAAACAAAACAAATCAACATTTTGATCAATTAATCAGTTAAAGATGGAGCAGGCAAAAAATCACCAGAATCTGAAAATAGAGCCGTCCTCCTGCAGCTCAGTCTGAAGCCCCTCCTACCAAACAAGCACAGACATGCACTTAATAGATGCAGGAAACACACTTTGATGAACCTTTGGTTACGGTTAGCAGAAGATAAAACTATTAGCGACATTCAGCATAGCCACACATCAGCAAGTTGCTCGGTAGCTCTGCCTACACAACATAGTCAACCACTGCAACACATTTAGATGTTATGGGGAAATTAAGTTTCAGGAGAACACCTGCATGCTCAGAATGTAGTGGTTACTGGATGCAACATCAGTTCTTCACTTTGCTGATTTTATTTGTTTATTTATCATCAAAAAAAATAATGGGGTTGTTTTGCATAGGCAGTTGTTGCTAACGCTGGAAGGACAGCTTTACTTTAAGGAGTTTCACACAGCCCATAGAAATTCCCGCCTTCTAAAAAAAGACCCGTGATTGGCCAAAGCCTCCCGTCACAGGCTAACTTTTCACAAGCCTGAAAACAGATCCCAAACAGAGGCTCAGGAGTCTGTTTTTCTCTCCAAACACTTAAACACAATTAAAATATACTGAAAGATAATTATGTTTTTTTTTTTCCCAATTATGCCTAATATGAACAGCCTACCTCAACTTGAATCAGCTAATTGTTTTATGTCTGCTGTCAACCAGTGCACCCTGCGAGGTGCTCACGTTTACTGTCTGTTAATCTTTATTCATTTAGCTTACAGATGAAAAACTTTTGCAACCACGTCTTTGCTTATTAGGAACTTGGATGAGTAAAACCTCATATAACAAAACAAACAAAGAAAAAAGGAGAGAAAATAACATTTGACCAACAGATGATCACCTGGCAATTAAGTCTGCTTTTCTGTGTGTCAACAGTTCAATACCTGTATCCAGATACTGATACATTTGACACCACATGAGATAGACCACCTATCATTTGTTAATGACTGTTTTTCTGCAGATTTACATACTTGTACATTTTTGAAAATGAATAGAGGATAAAAAAAAAAGAAAGATACAGATGAAGTCATTACGATCTCTGATCACATACTCATCTGCTGGACTTAATGGTAGTCATAGAAGCCAGCCACTTTGCTCTCAGAGGACCCACTTAAGCTCTGAGCACAGCTGAGGTTAACACTCAGCCATGCTCATAGGTGCCCTGATCACCTCGGGCCAGAACCAGAGCCCCAGGGCATTTTCAGCGTTGCTCAGTGACCTGTTGTGATCATTTGTTTCTGTAGCATTAACCTTTCCCTCTTGTTTTTCTTCCAGCAACCACCTCTCTCCTGTCCACTGCACACCAGATGTGGTAAAGTAAGTGGACTTTTGCACTGCAAGCTAAAATGTGATGTAATATCGTTCTTGTAATTAACACAGGTTTTCCAAGTGAAATTGTGCCTCGTTTACAACTGTGGAACATAACAGAAGATATCCTGATGTGCTCATTTTTCTTTCTTGCTCCCTTCAGTTATCTGGACAAGACCATACGCTCAGCAGTGCAGCAGCACCTCTTTGACGTAAACCCTTTAGAGGATCAACACTCAGAGAACTGTGGGTTAACCACATGTCCTTCAAGCCCAACAGTGACCCTTACTGCGCGACAGAGACGTCGGCACCATAGAGACCAGCAGGAGGAGGGCCTGAAACTGAGAGAGAGAAACAGGTACAATGAGTCTGGCATCGTGTGGAAGTTGGTAGTTGCTGGTGCCAGTATAGAAATTAGTGGCTGTCATGGCAACACTGAAGTGTACTGCTCAAATTCATTTCTCACCACTTAATTTTTGTCTTTAAAGTCTTACTTTCTCACATCAAGAGAAAAGAAACATGCTGACATTGAATTGATTAATTTCTATTATTATTATTATTATTATTATCGTTATATTAAATCCTTTTTTAAAAAACTCTCATTTGAATTAAAGCCATTGTCATTGTACTGTAGGAAACATAACACAGAAAGGCCCTTCCTACTTTGCAAAAATAAAGTTAAAATGTATTTTTGTTGGAAACATGTTATAGTACAGTATAGTACAAAAACATTCTTTTATTTTTTATTTTTTCACTCAACCACTCAAAAATCACAACCTTTTTACCGCCCCATTTGCTGACCAATCACATAGATTTATAAACATTAAAGCCGGGGTGAGCAGAAATCTGGAACAGGCAAAAGAACTCCTTTAACGCAGTGACAGTCATGCTGTGAGATAACATACATGTCACAACCTACAGCACAACAACATACAACTCTTCTGACAGACTTTGCTTCTTATTAGACATCTGCTCTGAGTGAGAAGCCCTGTGATTGGCTGAAACTCCCCATCTCAGACTAGATTTTGTAAAGCCTGAAAATACAGCCAAGAGGATGTAAAGAAGCCTAGTTACCTCCTAAACCACGGGAATTTCAATATGCTGAAAGGTTAGTATGGAGTTTATTCCCAATGTTGCCAAAGAAAATACTACCTACCCCAGCTTTAAAATAAAGAACTAGTATAAGAAAATGATGCACTAAATGAGGAAGTAAAACAGTAATGCCATAACAAAATAGTTTAATATTTCATGCTTGTCCTTTGGTTAGAGGTTACTTAGCTAATTTAACAATTATTAGATTGACTACTGGGAGGTAAGTGACAGCATGAGTGGTTATAGTTTAATGAACACTTTGATCCTTGAATCAAGTTTATATCTAAAAATGTAAGTTGAAATGTAAATATTTTGCATTACTAAAGTCTGAGCTAAGCGCCTCACTGCAATAATACTACCTCGAGTAGGTGTTTTGGTCGCAGTAAACATTTGGAAAATTCCATTCTGCATGGTAAGGTTGTCCACTGACACCAAGTAGAGTCATAACAACTGCACTCATCGCCAGTAAGAAGCTAATCCTTGTTGATGGAGACCCGGTTGAGTCTGAGAGATCAGTGACACGTGGATTAGAGGAGTGTCTTAGTCCAGAGACAACAGAAAATGTCAATAAGAGCATGGACAGTAAACAGACAATAAATAGAATTAGTACAAAAGCTGAACAGCACATGAGCTGCTTGACAAGGTATAAGTAAGGCATCAGGATGGCCTTGGCATTTGATTTCCAGGAGCATTTCATCCAATGTCAAGCTGATAAAGACAGACCAGAGAGAACTGAGAGAGTCATATGGAGGGCAGATGTCTCATTTCCTCACCCTTTTTCTTTTTCATCTGAGAACAGAGCTGCGTCCATCAAGGCAGACACCAACAAGGAGAACATCCCGTCGAGCGGCGGTAGCAGTTCAGGCAGCATAGGGGAGGACACGGGCAGCAGCTGGGACTCACGGGGAGGCCAGAGTGGTCACGCTGAGCGAACCCCCAAACCCAGGAAGTCAAAACACAGCCCGACTCTTGTGCAGCTCACCGACAACCAGGCCTCCCACGCAGTGAGTCGACACGCTCATCTCTGTTTGTTGTCACCATCTTTGTAGTTTCTGTCTTACTCTGTTTCATTGTTGTGTTTTTGATAGCAATATGTTTGTCGGTATGTGGCACTGACGCATTCATACAGCTTTTCCTCTGTTGCTCCAAAGACAAATTAAGCATTCATCTCAACACCCTGTCATCTTATTTCTGAATCGCTGCAAATAATAGGCAGTTGCAGTTAACAAGAATCGCTAAATGGAGGCAAGTTGGGAAATGACAGGAAGCTGTGCAGCTGCCTAATGGTTCCCTTGCGTTGCACAGCAGCTGGTAATATGCAGCATGCCACACTAATTGTTACCCACTTTTTTCCCAGAAGTCGTCTAAATGTAAAGGCCGGTTATGAGTGCACAATTAGCTGCAGCTTTCGTCCACTCAAGATGAAGAAGCTGAGGGCAACTAGTCCTTTTAACTCTTGTCATGTGGCCAGACAGGACCACAATGTTTCAAGCGTTTGTTGAGTGCTGAGCATTTTATCTTATCAAGAGGAAATTAGTGAGATGTAGTGCTTAGTGTATTGTGTAGAATTTTACTTTGACAGTTGATTTTGCTTGTTTTCCTTAAAAGTCGAGTATACTACTTCCAGTCATTTTTTTTCTCTTTTGTGTCTCTGGCTCTACTAGATAAGCACATGACTCTACATCTGCTTTGTGGCCATAGTGGAGTCACTTATATATATACTTGATTACTCAGGTGTTTCAGTCACTATATTGAGAAAAAGAACACCCTCTGTTGGTTATGGTATCCAGTTTTTCACTTTAATATCTGAATTGTGTTGCAATATATATTTAAATGGCTATATGAAGTGACTGTGGCTGAGTTTTGAAAGTTTTGATACTGATTTAAATGTGTCATTACTTATTTTTTGTTTCCAATGTTTCTGATTTAAATAAGTATTTTTCCAGTTTTACACTATTTTGTTAAGGCAAAATTGCTGCCCAGATTTTTGTTTTTGAGAGCACCTAATCTTTTATTAAATAGGAAAAATAGTTTTTAAGAGATAACATCTTTATATTTCTCAAAGGGAATTGCTAAAAAAAAAAACTTAAAAAAAAAAAAAAAACACATATTTTGGTATCAGCACCAAAAATCCAAATATTGCATTGATCCAGACCTGAAACAGTAAATCACTTAATCACTTAGCTGATGGACAGATAATTCTTCTGCTTTGCAAATAATTGATTTATTATCAATTTAGTCTAATTTAAAACCAGTATAACAATACTGTCCAGTTTTAAATTGTCAAATGTGAATATTTTTTTGTTTTTCTCCTTTATTAGATCATTCAGATAGGAAAGGGTGCTTAGTCTCATTTGGTATTTTCCTGCTGTGTTCTCACATTTAATGGTCTGAACACAGATAAATAATCACAAATAGCGTGGCAGAAAGTTTTATCTATATTACCCACCTTGCTCCTGCTACAGTGTATCTCAGCCTCTAGGCTAAGTGTACAAGTACTGTAACAACAAATAATAAAATACTTGGCTTTCTGTCAGCTGCAAACCAAGATGCAGGAAGTCTGTAGCGCAATCAGAGTTCTATACAAGGAGTGTGTGAAAGCAGTCAAAGTCATGCTGAGCATGGCGTAAAGCACGCAGCTGAAGCATGTAGCTGTAGCAACCCGATCTGTACACTCTCGTCTTACAGTGCTTATAAGTGAGTCGGATTAATATTCAGTGTTGGCTCATAAATGATGTTTGCTAATGTAAAGTTGAGCTGAATGGCATGCTGTGCCACCGACTGTATGATGGAAATAGAGTTGTTGAGTTCACACACTCACTCCAGGGACAGAATCTGAGACAAGCAGACTGTTTTCATTTTTGCCAATACCTTATGTAACGGAACAAATGATACGTGATGCCTTGACACACATACAGTATGTTATAGAAGGAACAGCCATGATCAAATGTGTGCAGTGCTGAGTGGCTGCCGGCAGAAGTTTGATGTTAGCGAGGATCTGTGTCTGTGAGTGTAAGCTGATTAGGTCAAGAGCCACTGAAGCTAATAATGGGCTCTGAAAGCCTTTGGAGAGCTGCTCATTATTCACCAATGCAACATGCTACATGAGACAATATGTTCAGAATTTATTTCTTTCTGACACGTTTTAGCTCTAATGTTAATGAGCTGTGTAAAACTGTTAATTTGTGTCAAAGATAGATTTATTTTCACAAAAGCAATGTGGTTATTACAGTCCACATCTTTCAGGTTCACCTTAAAAAAAGTGGTGTTTTGTGTGATGTTTTAGGTCTAAATGAACCCCAAGGAAAATTAATCTTTGCACATCTTATACTGACCTTTAATCATCTATATATAAATGGTTTTCCATATGTCTGTGTGGCGTTTGAGTCAGCAGATTCACATACACACACTGTAAAAGTGAAAAAATAAGCTACTTTGATCAAATGAATTAAAGTTTTCAAAGCAGTCATGGTTTCTCGTCATGCTAATTCAACATATACAGCATGTCCTCTTCTTATGGAAAATGGCCATTACATTAGCTTTTTAATAAAGGTTTTGAAATCTGTGTGTGTCTCTTTACAGTTTAAGGAATGTGTTGGTGAACGACAAGGAGAAAACCCCATGGAGACATTTCACAAAGGGTAAGCTTTTTTAAATCTTAACTTTCCTCCTATAAAAACACAGGCTGTAGCACCTGTTGCCTTAAAGCTTGTTTTACATTGATAAGCTACTGGCTGCCACTAGCAGCTGTGTCTGTTATCTCAAGAGATCCGTTTCGCATGCTGTGGTGTTTATAACATACACTTTATCTGATAAAATAGCAGGCATGTATGTGAATGTATACGCTGTGTGGGGTTTCCTGAGGCTCCTGTAAACAGTGAGATAAACTGCACTGGGCTGATTTAGTCACAAGCTGGTGGTGACACTGCTTTGGTTTCTCTGTTGGATTTTCCAGGATTGACATTTCAAGAAAAGATGGCCTTCTTCCAGCTTCACAGGTAGGTTCAATTTCACAACTCCTTTCCTGTTAGTGTTGCTGTTTAGACGCCTTACTGAAAGTCATTAGACAACTGTAGATCTTATTTGTGTTGTACTTTCAAAATAAAAAAAAAGAGTAAGACAGAATAAAGGCAAGGCAAGACAAGTTTGTATACCGCCATTCAGCAAAAAGTAGACGCAAATTAGATGGATTCAAAAAGAATAAAACTGTAGCAAAAAATGAATAAACTGATTAATTTAATGCTGTCAGAACATGAAGCAAAAAGCCCCTAACTGAACATACAGAACAGAACTGCTTCAGCTGAACAGAAACTCCTCTGCAGTTCCACAGAAACATACAATTTCACTTTTGTCAGAGGGAGATGTTAGTGTTCCTGCGAAAAGGGTTTTTTTTTTCATTATCCCTCTACAAACAGTCATACTTCAGTCAGTTGTTCACAAAATTAAAAAAAAAAAAAAAAAACTTGCTCTGGTTGTGAGCAGAAGGACACAAGCCACCTTTTCCATCTGCTCATCTCGCTTTAATCTGGACCAGCGCCACGAAACAGAGTCACGCAGTACCAAACCAAGACGGTGAATCTTTTTCTAAACAGCACAGATGGATTTTAGTAGCAGCTCTGACTGCAGCTCTGCCATCAGCACCACACTGTGCCTCTGAGCGGCCATCGGCATGTTGCCGCTCTCCAAGTGGAGGTCGGTGTAGCGCCCTCTCAGCTGGTCAGTAATGCCCGGGTTACAATATGAACATCACACAGACATGATTGTTACCATCAGACCTGCTTCTTCTTCCTCCATCGGTTACAATAATTAATATGGTGATCTCATCCCCTGCTGCTAAACTGCAAACTAACAACGGGGTATACTTGTAGTTAGCTTAACTTGAATCAACAATGTTTTGGAGGCCTGGCAGAAATAATATTCACTGCTTAGTCAGTCATTTGTTTGCAGTTTGCTGGTTTTCTGCTTTTTGGTGAGTTTTCTAACATTTTATAGACTAAACAAATAATCAGTTACTTGCTAAATATTTAACCAGTTATTCTATAATTTAAAAAAAGATGTTATTAGTTGTTGGGAAAAGGGTTTCAGGACCATTATTTCCTGTGTTTCACACCTCTAGCTTGCACATTTTTTCCTCCACGCTTGCAATAGTTGCAACCAGAGGCATCATGTTTTTGGGTTATGCGTCCATCCCGTTCTTGTGAATGTGATATCTCAGGAATGCCTTGAGAGAATTTGGCACACATATTCACTTGGACTCAACAATAAATTGATTGTGACCTGACAAGTTACAAGTTTGTGTCTGTAATTTAAGAATGAATACACTAATTGTGACAAAATGTCAAACAAATATCTAACTGGATAAAATGAGGAAATGACGACATTTTATATCCAAAAGGTGAAAAATCAAAGTCTGCAAAAGCACTTTTCTGGTTGTCATGTAAAGACATAACTCTGGAACTTTGGCCAGATACATAAACTGGTGACACTGATCTTGACTGTCACCTTTGAAACTGTGGTGATTGTGTAGACTTTGTGTTCTGTTGGAATCAGCTTTATTGTCCAAGCATGTGAAAGAGAAAGAGAAATAAAACAGAGTCAAATTCCTTATTTGACTCTGTTTTATTTCTCTCAGTGAACCTTCTTACTTCAATCTTACAATAGATTCACTCTATGAGTCTGGACAGATATGGATGTAAAGTTCAGCCTGACTGGTTGGTGGAGACATAAAGTTGTGAGGTAGTAAAAACACAAACATCAGTGTGTTGTGTGTCGTGTTGAAAATCGAGTGCCAGCGAACTGATACTCAAAACACGATGTACCCACAATGTAAGAAAACTGATAGTGGGAAGTGAGAACTGCAGTGTTCATTGGCAGCTCATGTGGACAGATCGAGTTGATTGTTTTCAACAAGCACATTTCACCGACAAACCAACAGACGTTGTTGTATAAATGTATAGATATGGTAAATTATATAAAGCACAGCTGCAGATTTTTAATTGACTTTCTGTTTCAGTTTGAGACACAAAGAACAAGAGAAAGCAGTGTTGGCAGAGCAGTTTCTAGTATCAAGTGTAAGTGTGTGTGTGTGTGTGTGATTTGAATTAAGAAGCGTGGAGTGCTGTACCATATGTACAGTGGCTATCAGACAGGAAGCTTGTAATAGGCCACATTGTGTGTGTGTGTGTGTGTGTGTGTGCGCGTGCGTGCATGTGTGTGTGTGTGCAGTTATATGCTTGTCTGTTTGCCATTCGAACAAAATGCCTTGTAAATTCCACCATTATGTGTTTGTTTGTACACTGTGTGTCTGTAAAACCCCGAAACAGCTTAATCATTGTCTAATACATCCCCTCATCTGCTCAACTTCACCACACACACACACACACACACACACACACACACACACACACACACAGTAGCTCCATCTATCTCGCCCTCCTTTGCACCAGCGTGACCTCACATGATGATGTAATCATGGCTCAAGTGAGCTGAACACGACGGCTGATGTTCCAGTGAATAATGTGCAGTGTGTGCGTGTGTGCATGTACATTTGAAGTATATTTCAACACAGCAGCACAGCGGTGAGCTTTAACTAACATCTGTAGTCGAGTTAGTCCACTGATTCGTATTCACTCAGCGGGTTTCTGAGAAATGCTGACAGCAGCACTTCTTCTAGTTATTATTGACAGCAGATTGATTAATCAGTCTAAAAGAAAAAGGCTAATCATCAAGATAAAGTGAGCAGATAGCTAACAGCTGATTTTATCAATTTAACACGTCATTTGCATGTAGAAGGATCAGAGGAAAAGGTGTGGCTTACTTTTTTGCCCATTTGAAGTCAGGCCAGCAGATGATAGGGTGTTTGTGCAGTTGTACTGTGTGCCAAGGTGTTGCTGACTTTTAGTCCTCTGAGACTCGTAACATCACATAACATTCACATTGACTCAAGTTAATGAGTGCATGCTTTAATTGCGTGACCACCATCAGCTGTGCTTAACAAGAGAGAACAGAAAGTACAGTAGTTAACAAGGAGCGAGGTAGAGCAGAGCAACGCTGGCTGCTAATTAAAAACAACGGACACGCTTTTCTCGGATCAATGACTTTATGATCAAGATAGATTACTTTTGAAGAGGAGTGTTGCTCTGTTAATCGATCAGATGATAATATACAGTTCTTCTGTAAATCTGTACTTTGCACATTTCATTCATTGTTGGTGATTAACTCTAAAAAAAGGTGCTAATTATCATTGTTTGACAAGACTTTAGGTAAAATTAGTTCCCGTTTTTCACTTTCATTCACATTCATTTATTTGTTTTTTGTTTTTTTTACAGATAAAATAATGGCAGTAAAGTAGTAAAGAAACTAGTGTCTAATTCTACTTTTTTTGTACATTTAATTTGCTATTTTTCGCAATTAAAACACACATGATCCTGCCAAACTGGTCTGTAGCTGCTGAGTATTTGCTTACACCATTAAATCTTTAGTGATCCCAACCATGGACACATTGGACCTTTCTGACATGTTCCGTACTCATGGGCTTTTATTTTTGACATCATTTCAAGTTTAATATATTAACATAAAATGTGGAGCAGGAAGCATGAGGTCTTAGACAGGCGCAGTTCATTACACAGGAATCTGAGGGTTGATGCTGAATGTAAGAAAGAGGGAGAAAACTTCATCAGTGTCTGTTTTTTATTCTGTGCGTGATGCTCACATTTTCTCCACTTGTCTTCCTGTAGACAAAGACTGTAAGTCATCTCTTCCATGGAGCGTATATAATTAGTATTTACGGTACATTTTATGCTACTTTTTTACTCCAAAACATGTATTTGACATCCATGGTTTTGTCAGATATGTGAATTCAGATTCACTACTTACATTTATTAACTAGTTTCAGTGCTTTTCTCCTCTGTTTTAGGTTACCACGACAGTTCAACCAAGCAGCTTAGTCATTAATGGTTTCCTAGTTGCACCAAGGAGCAAAGCATTTTTTGTTTATAGAACCTGGTCGAGTTCAGTTTCTTCTTGGCAAAATTTTTAAATGACACATGTAGAATAAAGTATGAAGTATTGCAATTTTACAGTTTTAACCTTGGATTTGTTTTGATTTATTGATGGAATTGCAAGTCTCAGATCAGCAGCTTGTTGGAAACACCGCTGGATCATCCGAGGATTTTTTTCTGTTTTTACAGTTTGTAAGCAATGATAAATTGTGTAATTTTGACTCTTTTTTTTTAAAAAAGATAATTCAATTCAATTCAATTTTATTTGTATAGCGCATATTTACAACAACAAGTCATCTCATAGCGCATCACAAAGGCAGAGACAGAAACACCCAACAATCCAAAACATTTGGATTCCCTATAAGCTTCAGCAGTCCGCAAGCAGTCCACAACAGTGGGAAGGAACCGAAAACCCCCACAGGGGAAAAAAACCTCCGACAGAACCAGGCTCAGGGAGGGACGGCCATCTGCCTCGACCGGTTGGTTGGATGTAGGATGAATTATAAAATTTAGTTTACAGTTAAACAAGTTATTAGAATTTATTGTCCTTTTGTAACAGGAGGATAACAAACCTGCTTTCAGGTTTTGGGGTTCAGAGGGTTAAAATGGTACTTTTGAATTCATGGACCAGTAATGTAGCCTATTTGATAAATAACAAAGACCTTCTACCAACTTCTGTTCTGTTACTAATGTAAAACAAGGATTGTGAGACTTTCACTTGTAATGAAGTATTTTTTTTACATTGTAGTGTTTTACACAACTAAAAGATGACTTCTACAACTGCTCATCCTTTCATGACTGAGTTGATGTTTGAATGCCTTTTCAACAAGTGTCGCCACTGTGTTGGTAAATTGTTGCTCGCATACGCTGCTACAGCTGAACATGTCATTCCTCTGGACGTTGTTTAAAGTATAGTATATGTCTGTGGATCTGTGATAAGGCGATCCTAAGTGTTGACCGAGGGCAGTATGTACTTGTACATGGAGGGGGGGGTTTCTTGAAAACAGTGACGGTAAACACCACTTAGGGGAAATTTCCACTCTTAGTCGGTCATAGTGTGCACGTTCTCTCTGGGCAGCAGTACCACACAGTATCCTCAGTGATTCACACCACATCACAGTCATTTCCCTTTAAACAGCTGAGGAGATTTGATAACTCCTGTTTTTGGCTTCGTGCCCTCCTCTGCAGCACAAGAACACACATACACACCTGAAGCGAATTATACTGCTCTGCCATAATCTCTCATAAAACCAGCCAAAACAACTGAGTATCATTAACAAAAAAAAAACAAAACAAGGGCTTTTGTAACCAGATTGTAGTGCACCCCTTCCTGTAAACCGTCTGTGGCATTTATGAGGTCTAGTAGCAGTGCGCCTTGATCTGTTTTTCCTAAAAATAGCTTGGTCCCACGCCCAGGCAAAGGAAATAGGACCCCATGGGCTTACCGCTAAGTGATCCACGGACACGTTCTACATGCATGGTCAACTGAGTTCGTTGTTTCCCCAAATTATCTACAATACACCAGGATTTGGTGACACGGCCTCGATTCTGGACAAAGTGGAATTTAAAAAAGTCTGAGATGAAAATACGGAGAGGAGAGGCTGCTGGGTTAAATGTTGAGTAGACAGAGGAAGTATTGTGGTGCAGAAAGAGGTTTGCATATCGTTTTTGTGCTTAAAGCTGAATGTTTGTCTGCACAGAGAGACAGATAGGGGGAGAAAAAAACACCCAGTCAGCCTACGTGTGCTGGCTCACAATCTGTCTGCTTCTTTTTTTTTTTTTTTTGTCCTCACCTCTTGCCCCTCCTCCCTCCCTCCCTCAAGCTCTGGCTGCTCTGAAACAAACAAGTCCAGAGCCGCATGTCAGGCAGGAGAGAGCTACTGTAGAGGAAAGAGAGGGAGAATAAGGGAAGGAGGGAGGGCCCAGGGATTCCTGTGGGTGAAAGACAAGGCGGAGCGAAGCCACTCCTGCTCCCTCACACACAGCTAAAGACAGATGGGCGGATGTTTTGGCCAGCCAGGGCAGCCAATCGCAGGCAGGGAGCAGCCCCCTCCATTAGGGCAGGGCTAGTCTGAGGGAGCGAGTGGCTCAACTTAAAGAGTGTGTTCACGGGGCTGATCGTTGTTGTTGAGCGCTCTTTTCCTATCTCTCATGGTTGTGCAGACGTTGAGGATGAAGATCCAGGAGTCACCCGTCGCTTGTGACACGGGGAGGGTCGGCGGCGGTGAGGTGAAGGGCTCGGACCCGGACTGCGAGAAGACCAGCTGCGAGGACGTTCCCCGGCTGGACCTGACAGCACTGACTGAGGACAACAACTGGGGAGGTGAGGCTGGAGGCCATCCTGCTGTTGCTCGTGTTTTAATTTCACTTGCTTCACGTTCATTTCTGCATTTGTCTCATCGTATGTGGACTTCATTTAAAACCCCACGCATGTCCCGACAACAGGCTCAATGTCCTCCACCCAGATCTGCACATGGGTGTCTGGGTAGCAGCTGCACACCTTCTGCTGCCTTTTCAGCTCCTCCTCCTCCTCCTCCTCCTGATGCAACTCCTTCAGGCGCTATCACAGAATTTAATTGTTAAAGATCTTGTTAAGTTTGCGAGCCACCTATATGTGGAGGAGAAGCACTGGAGGCGTGCTGGTTTGGCAAGATAAGGCAGCACTGCAGTCTTGTATTCATCTCGCATGAGAAGAAAGGAAGGTGTATCTCAGTTTAGGGATCCATCTGTGCTTTTATTTAAAGAGTACATAATGTGTTTTTTTGTCAGGATGTGGCACTTAATTGTAGATTTATGTGGCTAAACTGTTTGCAGATGACAGCTGCTGTAATTTTCAGTCAGATTTAATCATTAAAGGGGAGGTGGAACGATAACTGTACCAGTGAGCTTGGCTGCAGGAGCTTGGCTTGCATTTAGGGAGGATTATTGATCCTGGTTAAAATGTTTAGGCTTGTGCTCTATTTAAAAAGTCACTTGTCATATTCCGAGGGGTTCCATCATTCTAGGAATGATGAGGGTGATGTCTGGGCTTGTGCGTTTTATGTCAGCAGTGCACAAGATCAAATCTGAATGCAGCTAATGAAGTATGTCTGGGTACTTTATTGATGCTGGCTCATCACGTGCCATTACTGATAGGGAGTTTGCAGAAATAGCCAGTGCACTGAATTATTCATACAGCTCTTCCAGCCCCCTTTTGCTGTCAGACCTCTTTTGAGTTTTGGTATTGATATGTTTGTTTATGCAGTGTTGGCGTACGTGCAAAAAGGAAATAACCCACAATCGCAGAGCACTGAGACTCTGATTGTTTTGTTAGGATGTTGCAACATAGCGGACGTGGGAGGAGGGTTTTTTTGTTTTTGTATCGAGCAGTGAAAGTGAAGTATTTGGCTGAACTGTCCACTGGAATGATAACCAACAGGTTCATTCCTACACTTTAAAATACAGTTGAAGGGCATGTTGCAGCGCATGTTGACGTCTTGCCGCTGCAAAGGTTTGTCTTCACTCGCACCTCCGTTTCCTGTTTGATGTAAGAATTAGAGCAAAACTATTCCATGCAATATATCTGTCAGTTGCAACAGCCTCATGGTTGGAGCAGCCAGTCGTGGGCATTGCCATGTTTTGTGGAGCTCTCTAGTGGCCAAACTTCTTACATACATACAAAAAACAGCAGCACTCTGAGAGAGGTTGTTGTTGCTGTGCAGCATTTTACTGCATGCAAGAAGTCATGTCAAGTATTGAAATATTCATTGCACCTGAGCGATCAAACAGTTATTTCAGTTTGCACCAAGGATTGCTTTGAGCTGTTTTGGTGCTTCTCCTGGTACGTGGTGTCTCTGATGGTGTATGCTTTTAATTAATATGGAATTTGTGTTGAGGTGTGAGGAAGGGGAGGACAGCAGTTTAATTCAGGTCTGACATTGAGACATTTTAAATTAGAACCTCTGCATCTTGTTATTTTTTCTTGGCTCTGTGCCTCCTCTCAAAACTCCTGCTTGTACATTCTGTCCTGAATATCTAACTGAGCTCATAGCAGCAAGGACGCGATGGGGAGCCTGCATGATTGGCTGTGACAGGCCACTCAGACAACACTATCTCCTCTCGGTGCCTTATAAGCATGAGAACAAGCGAGGCTGCAGTTGTGTACAAGTATTGTGCAAAGTTGAACTTTCTGTCCGTGTAGCTGGCACGATTATTCTTCAGCAAGGAGAGCCAAAGGAGGGATTTACATTCTGGCATGACAAGCCAAGCTGAATAATCATTTAATAAAACAGCGCACGTACTGCATACTGTACAGAAGCCGTAATACTGTACAAATGGGCACGAGGATGGATGAGGGCATTATGCAGGGGTGTGAGACCTTTGTTCCAGTACACTTTGTGCCAAATGCTTGTCATGGTGACCTGATATTTGCCGCTTCTCCGTCCTTGTCTGTCTGCCTGCAACGGTGGACAGACAGTAGTAGACAGTTCGACAGGAAGAGACACAGTCCTGAAGCTCAAATGTCTCGTGAGTTAATTAAAGTTTCAGGAGATGCATGTTAATTAGATTTCCCTGTATTCATTGGAACAAGAAGGATGCTGCTGGTCCGTTATTTTGTTTCTGTTTCGTTATTTCTGTTCTGTTCCTTCATCTTGTCTTTTTCTTCTTCTCTCCCTCTTTTCTTCTTTTGTCCCTCTAGATTCTCCGTTCTTTAACACCCCTTTCCTTGATTTCAAAAGCATTTTCCATCCAAGTTGTTGTGATGGTAAGTCTTGTGCTGACTCGCTTTTTTTTTTTTTTCCTTCTTTTTTGGCAAATAGCATGTCAGAGTGAAGCAAAGAAAGGAAAGGCTGTCTGAATGACCTTTTCCACTGCATGGCAACATGCTTGAATGATCTGGAACATTGTGGCTGAGTGTCACGCACACAACAACCTTTAGTGAAATGGCACACTGGCGTGTTTTTTGTTTCATTAGTCTAGTTAATCCCGAACCATCAGCAAGCAGTTGATTTAAAGGATTAATTTCAAATGCCATGAAGCCTTACTGGCTGGCCACACTGCACTAAGCTAGATAATAGGCCTCAAAGGAAGACATTCTGCGTGATTTAGAGTTTCACCTGCCGCTGTGAGCGAGCTCGAACACGCCAGAGAGCTGCTACTTGGTGAACGGCACGTATGTAGAATTAAAGGAGGACCCCCGGGACTCTGAAGCTGGAATTTGAGCTAAATCGCTTCTCATATGCCTCAACTCACCCCAGCTAAGAAAAATATGCATGTGCAGTTTTAGACTGGGCGTGCATATTTTCCTGGTTGCATACTGACACCTTGAATGTTTACACTGACGGTTGGTTTCCTTCAGAGCTTGTTTTCACTGCCTCCGTCCATTCTCTCTGTGTAGCGGCTCCTCAGTATATTCCTGACACCTGATGTTACAGCTCTCTGGTTTTCCATGAAATCTACATTATTATTCCCATTGAGTTCCGTGTTTTGACACAGTTTCTATAGTTTTCCTTTCTTTATTTTACCAGCGAATTCTCCTAACCTGATACGCCTCTGTCTAGTCTTTCTCTCATGCACGAACAGATGCAGCGTTTATCTCTCACCATGCAGAGTGGAAACTAAAACACAAACTCGTCACTGCACCTCTCAGCAGGGATCATGCCCTGACATTATCCCACTGAGAGACGGGCTTTATTAATAGCCCAGGGATTGTCAGGGGTATCTACATTGCTATTTTCACCAGACATAATTATTGCCAGAGCGGAGACTGTAACCAGGGGATGAGCAGAGGGAGGCAGGGTGGGTGTGTCTTACCCACAGTTTCAGAACAACATCTGTGACCGTCGATCCCCAAAGGAAGTGTTTTTATTTTTTTTGTTTTTATCAAACAAGCAGCATCCTCATGTCCAGTGACTTTCACAGCGGCAGAGAGGGTCCAAGACGATGTTAGCAGGGAGAGACATGGCCTTGTAGTGTCTGTAAGATGAGAACTTTTCACATTTTCGTCCGGTATATTACTTTCTTTCTGACATATTGCAACAGGAAATCTTATTGTTTGTTTTGAATTTGGTTCCAAGTTGGCAAATGCCCTAGTATAAGATCACTATCAAAAAGAAATCCAAATTAGAGCTGCAGAAAACTAACCATTCTGATAATTGAGCACGTATTTGTTTTTCTCGCATAATTGCCAAATATTTTCCTTTTCCAGCTTCTACATTGTGAGAATTTGGTTTTTTTTGACCATGATAATAGCATCTATAGGTCTGGGTTTGTTAGTCAAAAGGCAAAACCAGCAATCTGAAATGTTTCCTCGCAGCATTAAAAAGCTATAATTGGTGTGTTTCTCAACTTATATTATTATATAGAAGCAGAATTAACGTGCACTTGAGAAGTTTGACCTAAATAGATTTGATGAATTCTGGTTCAGTGGCCAGATTTGAACTCCAGCCCGACTGTGTGACCCCATCCTGTTATTCCGCCTGCTGTCTCCTGAGAGTGGCATGCTGTTATTGTGCTAAGGCAAGCTGTGTGTGTTTTCTTCTGGCCAGCATGCACAACATTTCCAAACAAGATCCCTTGACTAACCCGTCCTTTGTTTGCGTTGTCTCATATGTCTTAGGCATGCGGAACAGTCAAGTGTCACATTTTGACGTGTTTGCTTGTGTCTTACTCAGAACCGGTGCCAGCGTACTCGCTGCAGAGGGAGAGCATGGACCGCGAGGAAGCTCGGCTGTCCCCTCACGCCGGAGGACGTCTGATCCGCCAGCTGCTGGAGGAGGACAGCGACCCGATGGTGTCTCCCCGCTTCTACGCCTACGGACAGTGCCAGCAGTATCTGGACGACACGGAAGTGCCTCCCTCACCGCCAAACGCGCACTCATTTGTCAGGTGAGCTGACATGGTTTGGCAGGGTGGTGTTATAGGTAGAGGAAGTAGGAAGGAGCTGTCAGAAGTAACAATGCCATCAATCTCCTCCACAGTCGCAGGCGGAGTTCTTCTCTCGGCTCCTGTGATGATGAGAAAGAGGAGCTGACCTCCGCCCAGCTCACAAAGAGGATTCATATACTGAAGAAAAAGATCCACAAGTTTGAAGAGAGGTTTGAAGAGGAGCGGAAATACAGGGTAAGTAGAACAACTGGTTCATTTATAATGTTGAGAGGTGTAAAAATAATTCCCTGCCCCGCAAAGAAGACTCAAAAGATGTTTTTCCAAACTTTAGGCAAAGAGATGAACTGTCTGGGATCATTCATTAAAAGGACTGAAAATAGGGAATAGAGAAATATTTATTACTTTTAGGTTCAGTCATTTTAGATGTTTCAATTTGAAAAAACAATCTGTCGTCTGTGTTTTTCCTCCAGCCCTCCCACAGCGATAAAGCTGGAAACCCAGAGGTGCTGAGATGGGTGAATGAACTGGCCAAGCTCCGTAAAGAGTTAAAAGGTACAACACACAAATGAAAACATGACTCAGATCAACTGATGGCTTCAACTGAAATCAGTAAAGCTCATGTATCTGTCTTCAGCAGAACACAAGCTGATGAAGTCTGAGGAGGACCTGCCGCCTCTGACCCGTCAGCGCAGCAACACGCTGCCCAAAAGCTTCGGCTCTCAGCTGGAGAAGAAACCGCAGCAGGAGAAGGCGCCGAATCCACCGGTGGAAAGTACGCTGGAGACCATTTTAAAGAAGCTGCAGGAGAAGAGGGAGGAGGTGAACCGCCCCGAGGACATCAAGGTAAAGTCCATGTTAGACACTCACAGGGATGAATAAATAAAACATCTCCAGCAAATGGATGTTACATGTAACACAAACAGCATGAATATTAAAGGCAGCAGTAGGGCTTGAATTTATTATGACAGAGAACTGCGTGTGTTCAAACCAAACCTGAGGAATCGGCTGTGTTGCAACACTCAGTGAACTCAGACCATTTTGAAACTGCGGTGACTGACTCACTTCTCGTCTCCTGCTGACAGGATATGACACGGGAGCAGATCGGAGGAGAGAAAGTCGCCCTGCAGAAGGCTCTTCTCTACTATGAGAGCATACACGGCCGACCAGTAAGTCCTCCTGCACCTCCATATGTCGAGCAAACAGACGCAGATTCACACATTCATACATCTGATCTCCTGCCAGCCATGTTGGCTCAAACAGAGAAGATGGAGCTCACCACTTCATTGTGACCTATATTTCAAGTGAAGGGTGACTAATGTTTGCAGCCACAGTGTGTGTATGTGTGGTTGGTTCAAACTGAAAATGGATGGATGTGGTTTTATTTCTGACCATTTGAAATGCCAACTATTGTTGCCCTCATGAGAGCTTCAGCAGCAATTAAAGAACAGCTCTGCTGAGAGCTGAGCTGGCACATAGATTGTTTGATGTTTCGAGCAAATCCCATTCAAACAATTGTACCGTCTAAACCCTGCAAGTATTGTCACATAGCAGGAAGTGCAGCTGACCTTTGTGTCCCCTCCTCACACCGTGGGCCCCGCTGGCTTGTGTCTAAAGACCTCTAAGCAGCGGCTGCAGACGGGGTTACCTGTCACTCTGCTTTACATTAGTGCTGCTAGTCTGCAGGCACACACAAGATGACAGAAAGAGGCTAAAGCTGTGCTGACAGACTGTCTTTGTTTCCCTCCTTCCTCAGGTGACCAAGAGCGAGAGGCAAATCATGAAACCCCTGTACGACAGGTATCGCCTGGTGAAGCAGATCCTGTGCAGAGCCTCCACCATCCCCGTCATAGTAAGTATCACATCTTAACCTGCTCTCAGCCGCCCGCTTTACAAGCGAGCGCCGCAGATCAGCACATTGTCAAAACGTCTGCAGACACCTAATCCCAGCTCGTGCTGGCTTTCGTGCCTGCTGCCGGAACGGGTGGCAGTCATGCCACAGACGTGTGATCCACCTCACCGGGCTCTTAAGTCCAGATTTAGCAGCTCAGTGGATCCTCGGTCGTAAAGGAGATTCACAGGTGGCAGACTGAGGTCACAGCAAAAGACAGTATCAGCGGCAGAGTGCAGGAGAGGCTCAGGAACTGGAATAGATGATTAAAAAAAACAGAATACAGTTAATATTTTAATTGCGACTTTAGATATTGTTCTCTTTGAATTTATGTATGATCATAATTCTGCTTATAGAACAATGTATAGCTCCACAATTATTCTTGTACTCGTCTATTTATAAACCATCTTTATTATGTAAGTTATGATCTTCCTTATGGACACACAGTACTCTCTTTACATAATGCACTACCTCTAATCCTCATCACACAGATTGGGTCCACTTTCATAGATTATTCTATACCACAGTGTCCATGATGCAGCATTTTTATTATCCCAGAAACGATTCAAACTAGCCCAACACATTCTACATTTAAATTGACTAAATCATGCTCAATCTTTGGTAAATATGGCCCATTTTTTAAAATTTTGATTTACTTTTTTTTTTTATTATTCTTATTTTTCTGGCAGCCAGATAGGTTGTGAAATGTGGGTTTGTCCAGGTGGAATTTCCAGTATTTCGGCTGCAGTTTAAGAAATTCAAATGATTCAAAGCTGCGTGTAAAAATGTGGTTCACAGAAGGACTCCTCTTAGCTGATAAAAACACGTGGACACAAAGTTAGGCGTTTCTTTTTGTAGATCTCATCGTCTCTTTGTGCGAGTGAGCGTCTCAGCGTGGTTAACTCCTCCTTCTTAACCGTCACCACAGGGCTCTCCCTCCAGCAAGCGCAGAGGTCCCCTCCTTCAGCCCATTATCGAGGGTGAAACCGCACTTTTCTTCGATGATATCAAGGTGAAGAGCTGCTGCTGCTTCGATAATCAGTGAACCGGCTCTCCCGCCTCCTCCCCCCCTCGCCCCGCCTCCTTCCAACCCCACCTCCCCCCCTTATTTACTACCATCTACCCTCTAATGAACCTGATTGCTGCCTGTTGATTGGACAGCTGCCTGTTCGCTGCCACCAGCATCTGTACAAATGTTGAATCAGTAGCTGCTGATGTTTGAATCGCTCTGCCAGTGTGATGCAGACATGTGGAGTAACTTAGAAGGTGAAATAACATCAGTTCGTGCTCCCAGATCGTAGTCATTAATATGAAAAGCAAAGGTTTGGTTGGTCAGACGGGTGTGTGAGGTGTATTCAGTGCTTATTATTCAAAGTTGGTTTGGTTTCACGAAGCTGCCCTTCATTAACTCCGTCTGTACGCACTAATGAGTGAAGACACGAATCACAAACGAGGACCATCGAAGTGCATTGTGCTGCTGTACCCTGGTGATTTATAACAGCTGTCGACTAACACCGCACGATCCTCATGCACGGCAGTGTTTGAGCCTGGAGGCCGGCCGCGGCAGCCTCGGTTCTGCCGCCACTCACCGCACGGCGCCACCGTCTAACCCTCTGACCTCCCTCTGCTCTGTTTCTCAGGAGGAGGAAGACGGCTCGGAGGACGACGGAGACTCAAAGACCCAGTTCACCGTGACCGTCCGACCCGACCTCGGCGTGATCGGCTTTCTGGACCACATGGAGGAGGAAGTGGACGGTTTCATTTCACCCGTGGACGAACTTTCGCCCTCCAAGAACACGACGGACATGAGGCTGTCCAACCTGCACTCAGCCACCACGTAAGTGCTGGACACAGGGAAGACAAACTGGACTGTTGTGGTTAAAAGTAACTCGTTGAAGTAACTGAGGTTGATTGAAAATGTTTGTATTTTCTGCCACTTTATACTTCACAGCATTTAAATACTTTTAGTCGCCTAAATTCATCAGAAATTTTAAGTTATTGTTTTCTTTTCTTGTTTACATCTGGCATTGAAAAGCATAGAAGCTTATGAAATACAACACATTGTTCACATGAAACCTTTTATAACTTCTGATTTGTTACAAAAAGACTATCAGTGACTTCAGTGTCTTGTGATTTCCCCCTTAAACTTTTTGCATTTTTAAAATGTTAACAAACAATACATGGCAACATGAAACCAGTTCAACCTCTAACCCAACATCCTGTTCACTGTTAACATAAAGGGTCATATTTCTGTCTTCAGTGTCATTTCTTACATTATAAATCCTCTAAATCCCAAAATCCAAATGTAGAAAAAAATCCCCAAAATGACACCATTTATCTGACCCAGAAACTGAAACAGAAAGATTTGTCATTTTTGTTGCAGCGTTCTGTCTGAAAAGCTTAAAATCATGACATTCATCAAAATCTCTTTATTCTTCATATAAAAAATGGCCAAAAGTCTTTGCTGTGACCAGATTCTCATGTCATGTGACACCAATATTTTCCCAAAACCCTTTTTCCCAAACCAAAGGGATCAATAAAGTTCCATTCTGTTCTATTCTGTTCTATTTTGGCTAAACCGGATTGAACTGCAGGCTGTGTTTACACAGAGCCAAGTATGGACACAAATGAAACATGAAAATAACAAAATATTCTGTGGGAATTTGAAAAACTGTTGATCATTTCTGGCGTATAGCTTCATTATACTGATTTCTGAGTTCTCTTTACTTCTCTTCATGGATGTTCGGTGCCTGTAGAGGTGCAGGAATTTATATTGCAGTTAAAAATGAGCCCACAGTGATTAAAAACATGACATGGGGGGAAAACACCCAGAAACTACCTGGGGTTCAGAGGGTTAAAACTTTAAATACACTTTGATGAACATACTTCATTGTTGGTCTGGCACTTTTCCAGATGCAGACGATCCAAACACTTCATCTACCACCGCTTTATTTCAACATCAACATAGATTCAATGTGAGATATTTAAAGTGTTTCTGCTCTTGGTTTCACAGGCGGGAACTCATGGAGCAGCTCCAAGAGACGAGAGAGGAGAAAAAGAGGATCCGCAAGAACCTGAAAGAGTTTGAGGACCAGTTTTTTAGGCAAAACGGAAGGTAAGAGAAAAAAAAACAAAGAGCCCGCATTACATAAGAGAAACGACACGGTGGACAGAGTTTCCACAGCAGATCCTGCTCTATTTCCTAATGTTTGCTGTCCTGTTCCCATAGAAATGTTCAGAAGGAGGACCGCTCCCCGCTGGCAGTGGAGTACAACGAATACAAGCACGTTAAAGCCAAACTGCGGCTGCTGGAAGTCCTCATCAGCAAAAGAGACTCGACTAAGTTCATCTGAGGCTGAGAATAAAAGACTCTAAAGGACTGGTGTCAGCTACATAGTCAACCACATCTCACTCTGTTGGAAAAAAAAACAAAACAAAAAAAAAAAGATCGGCTTTTCCTTCTTGTTGTCATCCTCGCTGCTCTGGAAACAGCCCACCTGTAAGCCTGTTAATCCGTTCTGTCGAGCACAGCAGGGTTTTCCTCCGACGCCCGCAGAGAGCCGCCGGCCCACGACTGATTCAAGGCGACACGGAGGCGCCCACTTCACCTGAAATCCTTGTTTCCTCCGGACCTCACCTTCAAAAAAGGACGTTTCTCCAGACAAAGCGACACACGCACAAATAACCCGAATCACACCTGTATTGCTGATAATTTATTTCTATCCTTTTGAACGTTTTTACCGTAACCGAAATGTTATTTTTCTCACGTTTAACCGTAGAAGTCTTAATAAAAAAAAAGATAAAATACAACCATAGTAATTAAAATAATAGATATAAAATTATTGCTATTTTTGAAGAAGGATTTTGTGATTAAGATGTTTGTGTATTTTTGTAAGGGAGACGTTACTATTTGTATCAGTATTCACTTAATGAACAGCTTTCTCTTATTTCAGTTCTGACCATCGTATAGTGTCTGAAAATAATCTTCTCTAGAAGTCAAATCAAGCACTTGCTCACTAAAAGAAGTGTTTTTTTTTTCTCGTGCACTACAACCCAAAGACAGCAGCTCAGAGTACAAACAGCGAACCAAAATGTTCATCTCATTCAAACAAACAGCCTCCTTTTGTGACCACTGGTACTTAGTTCAGCATTTGACTGTATGTTGTATGCGTCGACATGCTTTTTCCCACATTCACTTCACGTCAAATAAGCTATTCTCGTCTTTAAATCACTGGTATGTGTTTGCTCACACTGATTAACACTGACAAGGCCATTAGTGGGACAGAAATGGTCGCTAAAAGCCGCAGTGTTCCCAGCGGTGTGCGTTTCCTCCTCCTTTGTTCTCTTGTAAATATGGATCACTGTATGTTTACATTTCTGTGAGCGAGTACTCTTTCCTTTCTTTCTCCAAAATGGATGATTATCAGTGTGAATTTTGTTTTTACTGAATGTAAACACTGGCCAGGCTTAATGAATTTTGAGTGTGTACATTTTAGTACATAAATTGTATTTTGTATATAACATGAATGAAATCATATTTTTACTGACATTTTTTGGGGCTTTGTGTTTTTCCTTTCTGACTAATTTGAGATTGTGAATATTTCAGTGTTATTTTTAGTGACATATTCTTTTATAACAACATAGAAACCATCAAAAATGCTATGCCCAATACAAATATCTACAAATTAGATCATAACCCTACATATCATCCACATGAGATTTAAAAGCTATCAAGAACAGGAAGTCTGAGGTTGGGGACATTCACTCTTTATCGTATTTTTATAGTAGCTTTAATGACCAGAAAACACAAACTTGGAAAATTCAGTAATAAACCCATTAATAATAATGGAATTAAGCTATTTTTAATTGATTTTTTTTTTGGAATATTTAATGGATATATTTAGTTTTTTTTTTTTTTTTGTTAAACAGCAAGATTTAAGGGGTTTTCAAGGGAAAAGGAAACAAACACTGACATATATATATATGTGTATATTATTATTTATACATTAAATTATCTTAATTTTTCAGGTTTCTTTCCATCAAAAAACAAAAACAAAATCATGCAAAAAAAAAAGAACCCAAAAAACACCAATAATAATCTCCCTGTTTGGTATCAACACC